TTTTAACATTCTGCCCCTGATCGTGAGCTCAGGGTACCCCGGTGTCTAAGGACTGCACTAACGAATGCATCAGCAAAGTCATTTTTAAACATCAACTCACTACAAATATATATAGCTAGATATTTAAATAGAAATCCTGGTTATTTTGGGGGATAATTTATTATCTGTCTGAACAGTCGTCTACATCTGATGTGACCCATGGAGGTATCACTATATATAGAGTACTGACTGTCATGTATGGAAAATATGTCCACACATCTCATCAACATACTTAAATTGACATACATGTTACAGTTAGGAAACACAATGAGGAACCAAGGTTATATAAACTAGGCTCGTCATAAATAGGATTCGTACTAGTTTTCTATGGTAGGGTCATTCTCCACCATTCTTTATACAGTTTTGATTTAGTTCTGTTCGGATGTCTCACCTTCTGCACGATAGTAAAGCTCCTAATAATAAATCTTTTAATAACAAGCTCCAGCGCTTGAGTGATGATACAGAAAATTAAGAAAAACGTGGTACTTAGGTTCATTTATCTACACTACAAGTTTACCAATTCCTATGACTCTCTTGGTTTTTCTTGCCTTCTTTGGGCATAATTTTTACAACATGTATTGTTTTTTCAATTTTTTAAAAGATAAAAGATCATGAATTTTGACATAGATTTTGTGCATATATCTTAAACTGGTTGAAATAATATTGAAGTTATTAATAACACCACAATACAAATAAATATAGAATTATTTTGTTAGCAGCTGCAGTGATTTTTTAACCCCATTTGTAGTGCTGACTTTAGTACTTTCCCTGAGTAAAGTTTTCCCAATTCAGACCCAATATTTCCCCAATCTTTTTAAAAATAAATAAAGTATGCCTTCTTATGTTGTACGACGTTGTAAAATTTTTGACAAATAGAAGTTTATCTTGGGGCATTGAATTCAAGCTACAAGTTTTGTTTACACATGAGGTTGTTTGAGCGTGATCAAACAAAATTTCCCCTATATCATACATCCGTAACATGTCGTAAAATTCCCAATTCATTGTGTCCACGCCATAAAATTCCCAATATAAAAAAGGCACCGGCCCTTTAGAAAAAACAAGAGGCCCATGGGCCTTAACGGTCACCTGACATCCGATTCAAATTAGGACTGTTATCCAGGGGCCAATTCATACCATTCATCGGTCCGAGTGACCTTGCTGCATCGTCCATTAATTTTTCCTTGTAAACACAATAACTTCAGTAAATATGAACCTATTTTGATGAAACTTTGTATGCAGCTTTGTATCAATGAGATCTTGGATGAATTTGAATACCGGACCAATTTGACCATAACGTACATAGTTATTCCCCTTGGTAATTCTATTATTGTTGGACCCTGTGAACACGATAACTGAATTAAATGGGTGTGACTCCAATTTTGACCCAAGGGGTCTGTTTTGAACAAACTTTGTAACTGTATGTCTTCTGTTCTTGGTTAAAAGAAACAAGTAAAAGCGTAAATCAATGATTAATTAAATAAGGCACAAAATTTTAATAGCAATTTGTTAGTAGCAAAAATGCGTCATGAATGAAAAAAAAGGCTGTGGACCATAAAGCCCAGAGACATTAATTATTGACTTTGACCAGGAAGAGCTTCAGATTTCTGTTTGTCATTGTGGTCTTACATTTTAAATCCTGTTTACTAAGTAAGCTCCAATTATGCTGACACAGAACTCCAGGTAAATTGTTGCTAATTATAACCAAATACCCTGTTATCTGATATTGTGTAATCAGGACCTGTGAGGAACATTATGATAATTACCATGCTTACAAAAATAGCTTATGTTTTGTAAGGCTCATTCATAATCATTGTTTGGAAATTCTCTTCCGGGTAGTGCATGGTTGTAAACCATGGCCATATCTTACTCTGTTTGAGTCAGTATTGTCACCTGTCTAGATGTTAGTCAGATGAGAAGGAGTGCTGTAACAGTAAAGTCTGATGGGATGGTATATAGAATGGAAAGGAACATATTATTATCCTGTACCTACCCATGACCTGCTGATTTACCCTATCAAGGTCTGAACCCTTTTTCCTAGTAAGAGGGACAAATCTTTCATTTCAACAAAGTTGATTCTCCTTTTTATAGGGCTTCAGTAAACATATTGTAAACAAACCTTATTTTAAACCAACCAATAATCATTTTGATATTAATAACCTAATTTTCACTGGTATTCTGTGTAATTTTGGTAATACCTGGTAAGACCAAACAAAAAGACATGTTTATTTCCTGTTAAATGCCTGGAAAAAAATAAAGGAGAGTTATCTTGACTTAATCATAATGTGTACATGTATTGACATACAGTTTCAGGTTGTTTTTTCTTACATTTTACACATATTGTTTCTTGATTTATCTTAAAAACCATCAAGACCTAAAATGAAAACAGAACGATTTTTTTGAACATGGTACCATGCATGTATTTTGCTTGCATGTACATGAGGACAATTTCTTATTAAAAAAATTGACAAATGTGACACAGATCTCAGGTCATATACAATTGAAATTTAAAGCATCACTTGTGAAACTTTATTAGTCAATATATATATGTTTTCTTCAAATAAAAAACTTTTCCTTCAAATATCACCAGGGAAGAAATCATTACTTTTAAAATGAAATTGCATATTGTGTGCCCTAATTAGTTTGTAGAGTTGTTTGTGTGTATGAAAATGCAAAGTTCCACATCAATGTTACTAACCAATAACTTTGTCACAGTATTTTTGTACTTATTGAATCACTAAATAATTTCTTTAAAGGGGCTGGTCATGGGAAAAATGTCATATTTGCTAAAATGGCATACACATGTTTAAAATACCTTCTTATGAAATATACCGATACCGATTTTGCTGAAATTCACTCCCAAAGAGTAAAAATTATAATTATATTAAAGAAATTCTAAATCGCCACCTGACAGTCTAAAACTCTCAATTGACCCAGATCAGCGATGTAATTTTACCGCACGCGCGTCATCAACAAGGCCAAATGTAAACATCGCGGCGAAAGAAAAAGGTGCATTCAAAAGTCATGACAGGCACGAGGTATCAATACCGTTATATATAACAACATATAGGTAGGAATACTACACTTGCATCATACATGACCTGTGAAAACAATTATTTATGTATAGTATTGCTGTCTTGTCCGCTAGTTGAGTCCGACATGGCCCATGACGGCATGCTATTGTTGTTATCTTCACTGCCTCACTTTCGAAACAACCATGTGACACATATAAATAGATCTGCGCTAAATTTACGCAGGGCTTCCCCAAGATTTCATTGGTCAAAACTGGACATTGCAAGCAGAACTTGACCATCATATTGCCGTGGTATAACTTTTGGAAGGCCAGAGAACGCATTTAGACCCATTTATTTTGTATTTTTTTCCCCGACCAGCCCCTTTAAAATAAGAAAATTGTAAATGACAGTATATATAGAACTGAACACTGTCCCCAACATTTAAACACATACAATGTAAATGCTTATCTTAGGATGTGGTGTCAGATAAGCTTAGTAGGTCAACTTCTCTAGGTATATGTACTATGCTTACACTAGTACACCATCATCTGACCTTGACCCAAATATTGAATGATATGATCTGGGACTTCACCTAGTAGTAGTACTAATATTAATACCCGGCCTCCTTTACCCCGGAAATTGTCTCAGGGTCAGAAGCTACATTATCGCAGCTAGAATTTCACCTTAAAATTAACCCTTACTCAGATAAATCACAGAAGTGGGAGTCTTACTCTGATACTGATTGGAAAAAATAGAAAGTGAAAATACTATATTAGATACCAAGCTAAATTTCAGGATTTTATTAAGTAATGTCATAAAACAGCAAGCACATGTTCCAGTACCATTTAGTAGTATTTGTTGCCAGATGTGGGTTTTTTTTATATATACATATATATTAATGGAGTATATATACGCATGCTAATTCAGACTGCATGCTACTTTGATGAAAAAGGGTTTTATCGCAAAAAGAGTAATTGACTCTTTTTAAAATTGAAAGTTAAAGGATACCCAAACACTGAAAAACACCATTCTAGCACTTGTTTGTTACAGATAGTTATTTGCATTCCTTCTTCAGTTTCTTTTTCGTGTTTAAAATGAAAAGGGGTAGATTTGGAGATGATTTTGAATCAATTCTAACATAATGTTTTTATACTGTTAATTGTGTACACACTTTTACCGAATGTGTTAGAAACTCCAATTGTAAATTGAGATAAAAATCATAAAAAAATAAGGGTATTACTGTAAAAAAGTACAGAATATCAAACACCTTTGATTTTACCTATAATGAACAGGTCCAGAACACTCTGCCGATTTAAAGACCTATATAGCTATATTCACCTATAAATTATAGCTGTATTGAGCTATAATTCTAAGATTTCAATTTTCATTAAATTAAAACAATGTGGCATAAAACAATAAGGTTTATGGTAATGTTGACTACAAAAAGTATACATTTAGATGTTTATTTTCATTTTTCATAAATGTAAAATTTCCGATTTTTTCACATCATTATTTTTTAAAAAGAATATGTATATGTGATGTATCTTTTTTTAAAAGCGACTATGTTTCGTTTTCCTTAATAAAGAAAATCACATGAAAATAGCTCAAAAGACCTATTTCAGATAGGTTAATAGAGTTATTGTAGGTCTTTACAGCTATATGGCTCAATCGGCAGTCTACTGAACCTTATGAACATGGACTTATCATTTGTCAAAAGATATTTACAATTTAATAATTAACTAGTGCAAAACTTCAAAGTGGAACTTATTCTAAATATAGAAAATAAAATTTAGGCTTCTATAAATTATACGTTCCAAAGTATAAAATACATGTCCTATCATTTGCCAAGTTCGCCTAAAAAGATAACGCTTCTAAGTAGGTCACGATTGTCAAACTTTTCATCAGTTTTGCTCGCTGATGCAACTTGCATCATCATCATGCTGCACTCACCTGCAACTATGCCTTTGCAACTTTTCTGCCATGTACTTTTCGGCTTCTGAGGTACCAGTGCATAGATTTGACCACTGGGGACAGAGTTACTCTTGTCCTTATCCATGTTTTGACATGTGGTTTCACTTCACTTCATTCCTCCTGTAAACACGTCCGTAAGTCGAATGTTCGCTAAACTGCATGCAACGTCAACTCATGGTAAAAGGTCAAAGGTTGACATTCTTATTAACCAATGAAAACACATGTGGATGTCGCCTTACTTCCGGTTTATAGTAACGTGAAATCCCGCGAGACCATTTGCTGTAGCAACATGTGTTGCTAGGTAAGCGTCCATCATCCAGTCTTCATAAGTTCACCTGTGGAAACAAGAGTAACCAGGTAAAATATATTGACAGTACGGATGAATATAAGAATTTCAACATTTTATTTGAATTATCAATTACTGTTATCTTTTAAGAAGCATTTGTACAATTTATTTGCTTCGATAAAACAGAGAAAGCCTTAAAATAAGTGTCGAAACAGTTAATATTTTTAGCTGTTGTCAACAGATACAAGTGTACAATCTTACGGCGAGCTACATTTTTGTAGGTTCATTGTATTTTTTTATCGTTATCAAACATTTCCCCAACAATTTGATAATCAAGACTATATAATTACACATTTACTCATCTGGTTATCATTGTTTGTCAAGTGTGTTTTTATCAAACTAAAAGAGACAATGTATGTAAACACAATTGAAACATAACCTCGACTGATTGCATAGCAGGGTTACACTGGATATCATTCAACAAATCTAAGACATTTTCTAGCAATGTTAATATCAATACTCTGACAATAGAAAATTATATGAAAACTGAAATGGTATAGCTGATCTGTATATATGCTAAAACATCATAAAAGATAAACAATAAAACATAGTCTGAAACTGTAAGAGTGAAGTAATAATAGTTTGCAAATGCTAATGAAGTTGGTGTATCAACTTACCCTTGCCAAGAGCTAGCAAATCAAGCGAGCTAACTTGCCAATAATGTCATGCAGTCTTTAAAATGTCATCAGTATATAATATATTTAAAGTGAAATGAACATTTTCCATGGTATCATTTATTCTTCAATCCAATTTGATATAATGCTAATAAACTTAACGACATGTCTATCTGTTTGTGTTTATGTAGAGTGATGGCAAAGCTTGTACAGCCCCCTCCTCGCTTTACCCACTCTGAGTGGACGACCTCTAACCTCACAAAGTATGCCAACGCTGAGGTGGAGAGGGCAGCTGCTGAACGATTGGTCGAAGAATCCAAGCGTCTGTCCGACGAGACGGAGAAGAGGACAGAGAAAACACAGAGAGATGTCAACAAAAAATTTGGTAAGAAATTGTTCTTATTGTAAACTGTTCATGGCACTCACATATATCTTCAGGGTTATAGCAGGTGACCAGTTTATCAGGCCTCCTGGTGAAATTTGTGAAATAGTGAACTAGAGCAAAAAATTAGCAAATGAAAAAATGCAAATAGAAGTCGGTTTGCAGTCACATGTTTTACTTTTCGATGACATCTTATCAGATGTTGTCATTGAAAGATGCATTTGTGTGCCAAGTTCTGTGTCCCTCTATTTATAGTGCATATTGTGGATACTATGATACTGCTTATCTGAAAATCAAGTTTTTTGTTGTTTTGTTTTTGCATAAGATAAAGTTAAGGAGAAATTCTCAGAAAATTATTTTAGAATATTGGGACACCACACTGTTAAGTTGTTGCAGTAACTTTCAAGCCATAATCAGACCATGTGACAGTCACACAGTTTTGCTAGGCATATGATGTTGAGTTGCAGATTATATGTGCAACAATGCACAAAAGGTCTGGGCACAGAAACAGGTCCTCCAGCAGTATGTGTTCTAATTTTTGAGAGGCGAAGATCACTGTTGCACAATAGAAAAATATTTCTTCTGTGCGATGATATGTAAATTCATAATATATGTTCAGATATATACAACACTGTACTAATTACATAACATCAATGGAATTAATATTTTTTTAATTTTACTTTATTTAATTTTGTTGTGTTTTCCAGATCAAAGATTGGATGATATCAAATACTGGAAGAATGAATTAGATGATAAATTAGATGGTATAACAACAGAGATAGATAACTTACTTGCATTCAAGACAAGGGTAGAAAAAGCATTAGAGGCCACAGCTGAACCTTTACACATTGCCCGTCAGTGTCTAGGAAATAGGTAAGTTACACACAACTTTTGAAAGTTATTTCTTTGTAATAACAGTGTTTTAGTGTTTACCATGATAAACAAATTTACCAGATATATAATCATTTCCTCTAACTTATTAAATCCTGATGTTTATGATTTGCAGAGAGAAAAGGGTGTCTATTGATCTAGTCCATGACGACGTACAGAAACAGCTGATGAAGGAGGTGGAGTCAATTGAAGGAGTGCAGGCCCTTCTACAGAGGACCCTAGAACAGGCCACTGAACAGATCAGGTAAATCTTCACATAATCTACTCAGAACAGATCAGGTAAATCTTCAGACAGTCTACAGGACAAATTTCTGTTCATACAAATTAAAACTAATCAAGTCTCTCATTTGTAGGTTTGTAGGATATTGATATTCTATCCTTAAACCAATCTCACATTTACAAGGGACAGACCCCCAGGGCATTCACATCTTCAAATAATATATCCCTGGAGAATTTTAAACAACTGATGTATCACCACATTATTTTGCACATCCAAATGTGATACCCTGAGGCTAAGAGCCATTTCACATGTCCTGATGTTCTACCTACATTTTCTAGCTATTTCACATGTCTGATATAACCCAGGTATTACTTGCTGTGTTACACCTTTAAGATAAAATAATGTTTTATGTGGGAATATGATCAAAATGAAGTGGGTAATGATGTGATACTGACAGTATACCCACTGTTTGTTGTCAGACTGAACCGTAAAGCCAAGTACCAGCTGGAGAAGGATCTGAAGGACAAGTTCTCCGCTCTCTCTATAGACGAGTACTGTGGCAACCTCCAAAATAACTCGGCTGGACTCGGGTTCAAGGCAGGAGCCGCAAAGATTGAAGCCAAGTAAGTCTTAGAAAGTAATCCACTTGGGATGCTCTGTGTGCAGTGATTATGAACAAAATGGCCATGCTGTACCTGGCTTTTGGTCCTGAGGGATTGTTGACTACATTGATAAATAAAATATCTGAACACAAGATCACCATAATATACACGATACCAACAATACAGAAACCTAAATGACTTTCCCTGTCTGATTATAGATTTTTAATTGAGGGACAACTGTTCAAAATTCTGGAAAATTACAAACAAGCAATTTCTTTCAAAAATAAAAGAAAAAAAGAAGTGTTCATGTATGTGGTTATAGTCTGAAATAGCTGTTTCCTACTACAATCTGAAAGTTTACAAAACAGTCTAATGTTCTATGGGAGATAACTAAAGATTTAGTTTTTGATCTCCTTGCATGTTATGTCATTTTAGTTATTCTGTCTGCGTATTGCAGAGTTATCTTCTCTTGTGAGCAGGTATTGATTGTTACATCATTTGTTTGTGAGAGTAACGTCATTAATTTTTAACATAACAATCAATACCTGCTCACAAGAGAAGATAACTCTGCAATACGCAAAGACGGAATAGAGTGGAAAGCTGAGTAAATTCACGATACTGTTGTTATTTTTGTGGCATCTAGAGATCAAATATTCCTTATGAGAGATGATCGCATGTATAACACTAGATTTGCTGCTTTGACGTTAAATGAGAGGTGTTCACATACTAAGTTGGTGGGTCAGTAGCCATTTGAAACTTATTTACACTTCACTAGGGGTCTACCCTCTTTTGTTCAGCCCAATATCCAGAGTAATATTTTGTAGAACCTGTAGTGTTATCGAATATAAAAACAACCAAGCATGAAGATGCACCATGTATGATATATTGGGTCTCAAAGCAAAGAAGTAAAAGCACTTTTTTTTCAAACTTAGCTTCATTTCATTAACACCAAAACAACTTCAAATGTTTGCTCACAAATTATTGAATGTAGCATTTACATTCCTTTTGATGCATGTTTGCAGCTCTGCATGTCCTGAAGATTGGCGAGATTTCTCCAACGAAAACATCCTGAAAGCAGAACGTGAACGCCAGAGCTCTGTGGATCTCCGTTCACTCATAGACGGAATCCTCCAACAGACATCCAATGACATGCGTAAACAATGTGCTGATGTCAATCTCGCCTTCAACAAGCGTATTGCCGAGTCCAAAGATACTAAAAACAAACTGGAGGACCATCTTAACCATGTAAGTTTCTGTGTATTTATGATCGCTACTACTGTACTGCAATTTACCAAAACTTCAAAGAATGATAAATTAATAAAAAGTTCCAATGATCGTTTATGTACTACGATTAGGGGAATCATTTGCAAAATTGACCTACAACTGTTGTCAGTCTTGGATAACCACCACAAAATTTACATTTTATCTCACAGGTGCTTGCTCAAATCAAGGAGATTGAGGAGAACATCTCGCGTCTACAGAAGTCCATCCAGGACAAGGCACAGCCCATGCAGCTCTCCCAGACACGACTGGACACAAGGACAAATCGCCCCAATGTGGAACTATGTCGCGACCCCGTACAGTACAGGCTCATTGAGGAGGTAGGAGAAATCGAGAGCTCTGTCGCTCAACTGCAGGAACGTCTTCGCCAAACTGAGGATTCTCTCAAGGGACTTATTCGCAATCAGCTGTCATTGGAAGAAGATATCAGTGTTAAGTCCAACACTCTGTTTATTGATGAGGTGGAGTGTATGGGTATGAGGAAGAGCATCAACATCCAAAACTTCTAAACAAGATGAAAAACAACAATCTAATAAACATTAAAATCTGTGATAAAAATATTCAGGAGATGTGTAGCAGTAAAGAGTTACAAATCAATTTGTTGTAGCTGGGGAAAAACATTTCAGATTGTAATTTTGTTCCAGTTGATAAAAAAGGAAAGAAATATTTGTTTTCAATCATTGAAATGTAAATTAATTAACTATATTGTCGTACTACACCTTTCTGCTTTCAATGTGAATAGTTCCAGGAGAATGTGATTTCTGAATTTCAAAGTCAGAACATTGGTTAAATGTTCTTGTTGATATTTCTTATTTCCAAATCATTTTGTCCATCCAAGTTAACTGGGTTTTTTTCAAGATGTAAACAACAATTTGTTCATCCTAGGAATGACAGGAATTATACCATTGTGAATTGTAAATGTACAGTATTATGCCCAACTTATGTCATACTGCGGAAGGAGGGAATGTATGAGAGCAGTTTAAAAGTAGTCCCTTGGACGGACTAGAACTCTACTTTGAAGCTACAAAAACTGCAAATGATTTGCCTTCTGGCAGATTGACCGCTAACTTTGGTGTATTTCTGTACCTATTTTTCGAAATATCTTCATTGTTTTAGGTATTTCTGTAACTTTTATTTACAACACATAACCATTTACTGTAAATACAATGTTATTGTAATATAAGAAATAAAACTACAAAAGTCGTCAAATGCATCTCGTCTTGTATTTTCACAATGATCTAATATGACCAAATATCTATGTGAATACCCGGTAACAAGAATAATCAAACAATATTGTCAGTCAGCAAGGGCCTGCTATCGGACTGATCTTATATATCACCCATAATTGCCAAACATAAGTCTTTATGATCATTTTAGATTTTGAACTATAGGTAATCAAGTGTTACACGTATGTATTTCTGTAACTACCAGTTACCACAAAGTAAGACCAAAGTTAAACCAGACAAGAGGCCCAAGGGCCTTAGCGGTCACCTGAGTTATATCATAGATACTGGTAGCTTTATTTTATTGTTTAGATGTGATGTGGAAATCAGCATGTAAACTAAGTGAAATACAATACTTGTCATGTCATCAATGGATAAGAATTTGAAAATATTGGTAAATGTTCCCTTTGGGGCCCCGCTCTAGCCCCTGGGGATGGGGCAGGAATCCTAATTTTACAAAGTAAAACTCTCATTTACCCAAGATGATTCTGACTAAGTTTGAGCAATTTTCTGCTGAAAATATATAAAATATATACCGAAAAGTGTTATTTCCCTATATAAACTATATTAAACGTTAACCCCTCCCCAAGGGAGAACGGATAGCTCGGGGTCCTGATATTTTCAATTTAAATAAAGCCCCTGATGATCTTTCTTTCCACGTAAAGAAAATCACTGTAGTACCTCTGAGTCTGGAGAAGAAGATTTTTGAAATATTGATTAATTTTCCCTTTGGGGCCCCGCCCTGGCCCCAGGGGTCGGGGTAGGAATCTCAATTTTACAATTTGAAACCATCTACCTCCAAGGATAATTCTCACCAAGTAAAAATAATTTCCTACAGAAAGTTGTCAAAATATACCCAAAAGTGTTATTTCCCTATATAAACTATAGTAAACTTTACCCCCTCCCCAAGGGAGAACGGATAGCTCGGGGGTCCTGAAATTTACAATTTAAGTAAAGCCCCTGATGATCTTTCTTTCCACGTAGAGAAAATCACTGTAGTACCTCTGAGTCTGGAGAAGAAGATTTTTGAAATATTGATTAATTTTCCCTTTGGGGCCCCGCCCTGGCCCCAGGGGTCGGGGTAGGAATCTCAATTTTACAATTTGAAACCATCTACCTCCAAGGATAATTCTCACCAAGTAAAAATAATTTCCTACAGAAAGTTGTCAAAATATACCCAAAAGTGTTATTTCCCTATATAAACTATAGTAAACTTTACCCCCTCCCCAAGGGAGAACGGATAGCTCGGGGGTCCTGAAATTTACAATTTAAGTAAAGCCCCTGATGATCTTTCTTTCCACGTAGAGAAAATCACTGTAGTACCTGTGAGTCTGGAGAAGAAGATTTTTGAAATATTGGATAATTTTCCCTTTGGGGCCCCGCCCTGGCCCCAGGGGTGGGGGTAGGAATCCCAATTTTACAATTTTGAAGCCTCATCTACCAAGGATGATTCTGACCAAGTTTGAAAAAAATCCATCCACTGGTTCTTGAGAAGAAGTTGAAAATGTAAAAGTTTACGCACGACGGACGACGACGGACGAAAAGCGATTGGAATAGGTCACTTGAGCAAAGCTCAGGTGACCTAAAAATACAACCTGTAAGGTCTCAGCCAATCAGAAGCAAGAGTGGCCATCTTCTTTTACGGAATCTGGATGTTTTTAAACGCCATGCAAGAAAAACAATGTCATGCCAATGTATTTATCAAATAAATAAATCCGATCTTTACCAGGTACACAACTAATATAGAGAATGTTTAAACATTTTGAACAAGAGTACCGCGGGGTGGAACAATATACGCCCGTCGAATTCCATATAGTGTTATATACTTTCTTACATTGAAATAAGATCTCTCTCTCCATCATTCTAAGAGTGGTTAGCTGACATGCTATAAAAAACGTTGAAGAAAATCTCAGGACAAAAAATCAAATACTGAAATGAACAAAGGGCAATTACTTTTGCAAAAATCGTTGAATCAAAATTCTTTTAAGGGAAACACAACTTCATATCATGATTATAATGTATACCAAGTTTCAAAGAGATCGGTCGAAAAATGTAGGAGGAGATTGCCAGACAAACAAAAGTTTACGCCGGACGGACAACCCCATTCCATAATACTTTCGTCAAATTTGACGGGCGTATAAAAACTCACATGATTTCCAATTATTGATCACAATGTACAAACGTTTATGAACAGCCTCAGCTTGCATAGGCTGCTCAGATCCCACAAACTTTTATAAAATTAATGTTGTCAAAAAAAGGCACGCTTAAGGAATAGTGAATTATTTCTTTTATTTTCATTTCATAAATCAATTTTGACTTTATATTTACATGTATGATAATTTCAAAGAAATTTGGAGAATCAGTATGCAGTGAAATTTCCCCAATAAATACATGTTGAACATAGAACCAATTAAAATTTTAAGGCACATATGACAAATGCATGAAATAAATAACATGTGAGGTTATCATAATTTGATCTACAATATTTTACACAACTGCATTCAAAACTTCAAATTGTAAACATTGTCTGTTGTACAATATTGGAGAGTTAAAAACAGTAACTTGTTGTTTACATAGCACTTAAATGAAAAGACGAAGAGAGCAAAGGTTACATTAACACAACACATACCGTAGCCTTTTTCAAGTTTAACCAGCTGAGAGGTGCTCCCGTTATAAACATTGACAATATCATCATTTTATTTTAATACTCTGCAATTAATAGGTAAAAATGATTTGCACAATTGATATATAAATATATGTAGGTTTGTACATGGTATCATCAACAGCACAAGGTACAAAATGTAGGTCTTACCAAGATCACAATCAAACAATCAACCAGTCAGTTTTGATTGCATAAAATAAAGTATCTCATTTCTAAAACTACCACAGAAGTGACCTACATGTGGACCTGATAAACACCTTATTTTTTTAACAATAAAAAATCAAAATTTGTTTATCTTCACAAGTCATAACTAAAAAAATTCAAAACAAATTTTCTTCTATTTTCTTTCTTTACTTGTACTGGGTATTTGAACATTTTGAAATAATTTTGCCTTTCTGTCTTCAGATGATCATTTCAAGTCTTTATGCGTGTGGCTGTAGTTTCTAATTGGAAATCATTGAAAATATGTAAGATTTGTATAACTTCCTATGAAGCTAATCAGTGTACACTTTGCCCCGATATTTACGATTGGGCCTAGATATTCATTACTTGACTATTATTTATATTATTAACACAAGTAAAATCCCTCATTCTTACTGCAAAACAAAAACAAACACAAAATACAGATACAGAAACTGCACATGGCAATATCTAAGGTATGTACAATGGAAAGGAAAAATAGTAAAGAATGTAGGAAAGGTAGTCTTCGTCAGATGTAATACATACATAAACGGAAAACATTAATAATTTATTATAATATTTACAAATGGTGTCAAATCACATTGGTTGAAAGAGTATAAATTCAAACTATAATGGCAAGGAAAACTTGCTGTCTAGACGAGTGGCCAAAAAGTTTGAAAAAAATATTTTAAAATCAATTTGGATTTAATTGTGAAAAAAAAATCTGACTCAGAAGGAAAACTTCATCCTTGATTATTATTCATTGTACCATGTCAGTGATGAAACAATTGTCATTGATTAATTACAGATGTACCATAGACAATCATACATGGAAATACATGTCAAGAATAAATCAAAGTCAAAATATCCAGACTTGAATCCATATTAACATGAAAATTGCCTAACATTCATGTTTATTTTGTTTCCCTGTGTGGGTAATTAAAATTCCAATGACCATATATAGTTTTAATACATTGTACAGAGAAACAATGCTGATAAAACAAATTATGTACAGTAAAAGTTTCCGGTAAATGGCAGGACACACAACACATTTCATGATAGACTATATAACAATGTAATATACAGAAGATATTTAATCATGGTTTCCTGTTAAAAACTACCAATATTTCACAATCGTTTCTCCTCAAGTATTGCAGTGTACCAATATATATCAGTACATGTACAAGTACAGTAAAACCTCGATATAATACCCTTCGTTAGATTTCCCACATATTTCAATGTCCCTTTTTTCTCTTTTTCTTAGGAATTCCTTTACAAATTTCCTCAATTTGTCGCCAAACCCCACATAACGCCACAATTTCTCTGGACATACAGTGGCAGTATAACAAAGTTTTACTGTATCTGTTATATGAATAAACTATAAGTAGTATTCAAAGAGTAAGTCTATTAGATTTTCTATTTACATTGTATTACATATTCAAAGCTTAAAACAAGAATTTTAAATGTCCTGTGTCATTTGTAAGATGAAAATGATATACTATATATTTTTCAATAGTAGTCGATGACTAATGGTATGACGCTGGCAACTGTGAGTTATATATCAAGCTACCCAAACTGGTACACTACCCAAATTGGTACATGGTCAAATAGTGGTTCTAATAGTACTTTAAAATAAAATTTGTGTATTTTCCTCTGATGGTAAAACAATAGAGATATATATCAGTATATCCACCAAATGAGTTGTTTACAGCAACATTTTAAGAGTACACGATGACTTCAAAATAAACATATCAGAAAACCATAAATAATGATGCATGTTGACAAAAGTTTGGAGGATTTTGAAGGAGTTAATTATAAGAATATTTGAGGGTTGATTTCTGGTCCTTGTAACAGGATAATATCAAAGTGTATATATTTATAAAAACAATATAGTTTCAGAATAGGGGAGAGGAGCCAACGCCTTGCTTCTTTGCGGTGTTGTAACAGATTTTTCGTCTAGGTGTGGATACCTTCGAGTACGTCTGCTGGGTGATTGCATAAATCTAAGACTTATGAACATTGAGTTGCAATCACAACACAACCTGACGTCCTCATCTAGTGGTGCTTTATTTACTTAATGTTGCAATCAGCACATCAACTAGTAGAATTATAAACAGATTCAGAGCCTGTGATATGGTGTACCAATTTGGTTACTAATCATGGCCGAAAAAATGGATAAAATCTCACTGAGAGTTTAGCGTTATATTTTAAAAACAAATAACTTTGACTCAAAACTTTTCATGAACATGAACCACTATGGGTAGTCTTTATCAAGAATCAAGAAACATTCCTGATATAACATCTGGGTTTTTAAATAACACTGAAAAACCATCACAAATGTACCAATTGTGGTAGCATGACGTTACCTGAATGTGAACACTAAACAGAGGAAACCTTTCTCTATGGAATCAGATGTTAAATGCTACAAAGTGAAGATATGTTTTCCAACTTTTGTGAGCCTTTATAAAAAGTCTGCATTGTTTTCAAAGGTAAAAGATTGTTTTATATATTATATATATATATATAAATATTTTGGAAACAAGCAAAATCATGTCAAATCACAGGATCTATATTAATTACACCCAATAGATATAGAGACATATGGTGTTGCAGCATTACTGGTGTTTTCAAAATGATTATTATTATTGACTATTTTTGTTGACTTGTACCCAAATTTTCACAACACCCCAAAATTCTTAAATTTTAACACAATTTTATGGATTTTATAGAAAAACAAAATATTTGCAAATAATCTTAAAATTTAAGCCAGCACTTAAGATTATATTTTCAGTACACAAATTTATGAAATACATTGAAATTACTAAATGTTGAACAAACATACACTTTACAAAAATAATACATCCATTTCATTTTACATAATACATATAGTACAGATAATGTTATTTGGGGATACACTCAATCCCATGTCTTCAAATTCAATTACAGATTTTATGAATTATAATTTGATGCAAATTACTCATGTTTCAAAATCCATAGTTGTCACCCAAATTATCTGATGGCAGGCTGGTATGAGACAGATCCTCCACCGGCCACGAAGGATTTGGTGTAACATGTATGTATTATCACAGTCCTGTCAGTATTAGTACGGACCCTGACTAGCAGCTGGCTGTTGGATGGTATACGTATACCACAAGTAGTTACCCTACCGTTACATAGCACATGACACCATTCTACCATAAACAGGCATATTATAGCAATACTAATAATTTTGCATCTTCCATACTAACTCTTAAGCACTTAATTATGAATAAACTTTTTTCCTTCATGCTTAGATATAGTTGTAGTTAATAAATTATGTGTGTCTGATGAAACCTGTCACCAATTTGTAGAAATATGTGCTAAAATATGCATGCTGACAGTACATGTACAAATGCGCTGTAACAGAAATCCATGAGAACACAAATTTTGTACAGAAGTACAAAATAAAACCTGACTCAAGTTTTACTGAACCTCGTTCACCGTACAGGCCATGTCAGTCAGTTACTTTTAAACATCACAGTTAACAAGTTCAGACAAGTTCTGTGTTTAACACACTACCAACCACCCACAGCCATTCCTCATTAAGATGAGTTACTGCAGTAAACTAATCAGGGCATCAAAGAACTTGCTCTTGTCTTCTGTCTTCATTTCCACAACTGAAATGGAAAAAAAAAAATGTTCACACAAATAGGATGAGTTATACAATCTGACCACAAATGGAGGCAAAAGAGCAATAACATGACGTTTTTATTGATAGAAACATGACCTTGAAAAAAATACAAGATGTAACGTTTTAAGTGCAGGACCTGTTGTCATTCATAGTCAATAGGTACAGTTATTATTAACAGGTTTTCAAATACTTACTAAAAGTGTCAAAGCTGTCCAGTAAAGTTCGAGCATTGGAACCCACGGCTGCTTGTTCAAACGCTTTCCCAAAGAAGCTACAAATACAAAACTTAGCTGTGAACATCAAATCTACAGCATGGCATTCAAATTATCATGTACAACAATGTACAGTTGAATGGTCTATGAAATTATGGAACATACGATCTCGATTGGTATTTTTCCAACTCTCACAGACCTGGGTTTATTTATCCTGTTCTAAAGTCATAAGAGTGCCATACTTACTTTTTCCTCTCGTCATCGAGCTGTAGGGGTGGGATACCAATCACAAGAGTTGTACCCTGTTCACTGTCTAAAGGGGCTCCCAACACAAGCGGCATCGACCGGGCTCGCTTGTTACGACTCTGATAAATACAGCACAAAGGGGTTACAATATTAGAACAAGGGTAGGTGTGAAGTCATTAATCCAGTTTTATCATGCCTTCAGATTCATGAAATTTTGGTGAGAAAAAAATCACACAAGTTTTGAAAAATATAAGCAAAATTTGAGGGGTTTTTTTGTATATTTTCCGACAGCAATTTTTACAATCCCAGAACATGTATATTTGGTTTTAATGCCAATAAAGCTCAATAAATTAATTGGCATCCAACTGTCTTCATACTACTACCTTTTCATATAACCACCTGGTTATTTTATCAATATTACATTTCAATATACATGCATAGACAATGAAAAGTGACGTGCCTGACAAAAACAACAACAAACAAGGACATAGTGATTCAGACCCCCCGCCAAGGTGTCTAATATCTGGTTAATATCCCTGAATGACACTGAAATTAGTGTTGTAGATACTGACCAGGGTATGTATACTTACCACCGAGCAGTGAGCCTCCTGTGTAAACCGGGCCAGCCTCATCAGACACTGGGGCGTGGAGAAATACTTCACATCTGCTGTACCCTGCACGCGAAGACAAGTCAATATAAACTTATGCTTCCTGCCAAAGTTTGATGCAATCAGTACAGTAAAGTTTGGGAAGTGGAAAATGTGAAATCAGAAAAGTCAAGAGTTTGTAAAAAATTAAGGGGAGACATACCTCTTGTATGAAGGCATAGAGGAAGGGTCCAGCGGAGATCACTTGGTGCATGTCCAGGAAGGTGCGGACCTGTGTGACGAGAGCCTGTACCTGAGTCTTGGCACAAACTAGAGACTTCTCCATGGCAATCACATTTCCCCTGAAAGTTTCAAGTACAACACAAGTTAATCAGGACAATCACAAATATAATTACAAAATTACAACAGCAGTTTATCAACATTTATAGCAGTCCATCAATTAATTTTGTATCAGCTTAAGGAAGAGAGTCCATTTACTCTAAACTAAATCTCCAAAGAAAAAAACTTCCATTTTGTTTGGCATTTTTCTGATCTGGAGCTGCTTGCCTATTACTATGCAAAGAGTTGTACACAAACAATTATTTATTACATTTTTGTTTACTTCATAAAAAACATCTCTGCTAAAAGGAGTCGAACCCTTCATAACATGATTGTAATAAAAGGAGCTTATCTAATGCACCTTTGGTCATATATTTGTAAGTACTTTTCAGAAACATCACTGAGAAAATTTTCAAAATATTATAACCCCTAATAAGAGGGTGCAAACTAAAACTGTTTTGTAAGAGTTTGGAACAAATAACATAAATATAATGGAAAATAACTCTGCACTGCCTTAATCAACAAATAAGGTCAGAAAAAGAGTATACACCACAATTGCTGCAAAGTCATGACATTGTAGCATCATTTTTGGCTATGTATGTTAATGCTGTAAAGCTCAAATATTAATAGGGATAAAAATATTGCACAATTAAATAGAAAAAGAAAAATTAGAATCCTGGGAAACTTAACGACACCTGGAGCTATATGTTCCTTACCTCTGTAAGACATCCAGTGCATTTAGGAAATGGTCGGTCGGACTCTTTCCCTTTTCCTAAATCAGAACAACAGTAAACTGTAAATAGATGTCATTGTAATAGTAACCAATAGCGATCTCATAATGAGTAATAATGAATTGGAAAATCTGTAATCAGAAAATAAATATTAAAGCTGCAAAAATATGTCACTGGAGAGCTTTTTGAGTTTATAATAACAAAACACTATTTCTAAATGAAGAATTAGACTAAACTTTCCCTAAATTTGCCCCCAAAACTCAAATGTTATGTGACTGAACAGGAAAACGGAAGCTTCCTGCAGACCGAAGGAATATTTTGAACTGTAAATCATACTAAGGATGCCAACAGCTATTAATTTGAATATCTGTTTTTAACATTGTAGAGCAAAACTGAAACAGTTCTCCTGCCCTTGATTTTCATACTGATTTAGGTGTTTGGAGCCCATAGGACTAACAACAGACTCCAGTGTGGACACACCCAAGGACAACATACTGATTTAGGTGTTTGGAGCACTCCTAAACACCCCATAGTACTTACAATAGACTCCAGTGTGGACACACACCCAAGGACAACATCTGTGGCACAGAGCTTGTTTTTGTATCCGTACTGGGCAAAGAAGGAGGGAAACACTACATCTTGAGGCACCAGCCTGTCAGACACAATGGAAACATGGCACATACAAAGCTTTACAGTATCATTATACATAGGCATATCAAGTACAAGTAGAATTTCTTTCAAATAGAGCTTTTATCTTACACATTTTACCTTTGATTTGTGATACACTTAAGGATGCATGCTACCTTACGCATTTGATTTATGTAAGAGTAAAAAATCTATGCTACTGTGCACATTATACCCGTGAGTTGTGCTAAAAATTAAGGATGTACATGCTTTTTAATTAATCATACATACTTTCTTTAAGAGTAATAACCCTTTAAAAACTTATATACACTTGAGTCTTGAGTAACTCTGATGTAAAGATAGCAAGAATCTTTTTAATACAACAGATCATCCTGATATAAGAGTTAAGAGATAAGGGTCCCAGTTACCCATATTTGGCCATGTGGTCCTGGATCAGGGGTTTCACATTATTCCTCACACTGGAATCCATTGCAGCATACTTCTGTTTACACTGTGTAAGAGGCATCCTGAAATAATATTGACTTCATGTCATTTATTGTACAAAAAAGTTTTGCATATATTTCCTTATTCCTGGAAAATATTGTGAAATATAAAAGGTCATGGATGATATTTATGAAATAAGTCTCGGAAGTTTTTTTCATTCTATTAAGCAACTAGAAAACAATTTTAAAGCATATATATTCCATCTCTCAGATGAACATGGAGCTGAATATAAAGTAAAACTAGAAAATGTCTTTAAGACATGAATGTCCCCTCACCATGTGAAATTAGTTTCAGTGTTTGATGCCTAACGGACGGGACAGACATGGGCAACACTATATGCCCCCCCCCCCCCCCCCATTTTATGGCGGAGGCATAAAAAAAAGGAAAGGAGTTGAATGCAAACTTATCAGTGAAGCCTAAAACATAGGTCACAGTGACCTACATTTGATGTATTCCTCAAGATGTATCTGAAAGTTTAACCCGATTGTCCAATGTACAGACATATCAATGAAAGCCGCCGTACCCGTCAACATATGAAACCTCCAAAAGGGAGATCTCCAACTGAACACATCTCCATAAGAATTTTTTGCAGCATTTGCTCTTTAAACCAGGATGTCAAATGGGAGTATTTATTGATGTCAGATTTTTAGCTCTGAAAATATTTTCTTTCAAGCTTGAGAGTTTTCTTAATTTTGGCCAACTGAAAACAATGACATGTATGACAGCAAATACTTAATGCCCAGGGTCTTGACATAATCAGACGACAAGAAGAATTACCCCATTTCTGCTAGAAATTCATGCAGTCGTTTCTGTCCTTTGAGCGTCCAGACCTTGAACTTGCAGGCCATGTTGGTTGAGTGACAGATGCTTTCGAACAACGACCAGTGTCGATACAACGGTAGCTGGAGCTCTTCGTCAAAGGAGATCTTGAGACAGTTCACAGATAGGATGTTGTCTTCGTCATCTCTGACAAGTAAACATAAAGCTATAGAACAAGCACTCCGGGAGTATGTTCTTGACAAAATAACTAGATATTGCATTAATTTTCAAATTGCATGAGGTCAATATAATATAAAATTATCTTAAATAGGGTCAGTTGAGCTTATTTTAAAAGAATGATAAAGATCAATCAATGCAAACTAAATCCACCATCACGAAAAGTGTTAATAAAACATAATCTATTAGATAGGATGAATGTCTGAAGTCAGGATACATTATCTGTGGTCAACAGTTTCACAGGTGTTAAATCTACACAATGTAACTTAATGGCCATAAAGCAAAACACTATAAAACACTGTTTTGAGTTCTCATCTACGTCAAAGGATGGGGCAGCCACTAATGTTTTGCGTGACCTATAATCTGGCCTGTGTATTTCTCACTTAGTACCTTTGAATAAAGCAGATGTATGTAAATTATTGAACACATGATAACTCACCTGTGGTTGTGGCGAGACACATGGGACTGTAGAGCCATCACATCATCTATGTATTTGTCCCTTGGTGTTTTGTAATGAATGTACTGGTCAGTCACTCCCAAGATAGACAACCTACAAAACAAATTATCTGTATGTTCTTGCCAGTCTCTTCCAGGATATATATATGCATAAATACTTAATGCCCAGAGTCTTGACATAATCAGATGGTCATTGTTCAAGAGCATCTGTCACTCAACCAACATGTTCAAGGTCTGGACGCTCAAAGGACAGAAATGACTGCATGAATTTCTAGCAGAAATGGGGTTATTCTTCTTGCCATCTGATTATATATATATAACAGGAATGTGATTGAGGGAAAAAAGGAGGAAAGCAAAATGAAAGCAGAGGAACACACCTAATCTTTATGAATCGATTATCATTGTATCAGAAAAAATCAACAAGATTTAAAATCCTCGTATGAAAGTAGGGGAAAAGAGGAAATCTTCTGAAAAGAGGAAGAATAACATCCCTGAAAAGTAGCAATTTGTAGTGACGTCTAACAATTAAATCTTTCATAACAGCTTTACATTGCACACACACTGTTACACGCAGGCTCTACTTACCATAAAAGGTCATTGGTGTCTTTGGACATTTTCCAGGCCAATTCAAATATAAGCAAGGCTGCCTACAAGAAAAATAAAGTGTTAATAATGGCTAAAAATACAAAATACATATAACATACAACTTAAATTATTCCTTGGATTAATACCAAGCTTTATTTCATCACAATAGTTAGCATTTAATGTATGGACTGTACATTAACAAGAGGTCAAGAGGGCCTGTATCATTTACCTGTTTCTTTTGTTACATGAAACCGACATATAGGTAACTTCAGACCAAATTTGGTAACTATTTAATACACAACACATTTTAACATCTCTTAAAGGTTTCTAAAGATATTGTTTGAAATTTCAAATTTTGATTTTAAAGCTTTTAACCAATGTTGAACGTTTGACCCCCGACTAGCACTTAAAGTTGACCTTTGACCTCATTACTGTTATGAAGAAAAATATTTGCTCTGCTGGTCTACATTGCATACTCAGGTATAATGGTTCTTATAGGATGTTGTTGTTTTAAGTTTTTAACATAATTTACCCCTGTGACCTTGAAAGTAGGTCAAGGTCATTTAAATGAGGAAATTGTATAGCACTCCATCTCCGGTCCCTACTGGCCAAATGTCATGGCCCTTGGCCTTATTGAACTTGAGAAGATTGTTAAAGCTTTTAACCCATGTTTACGTTTGACCCCCGACTAGCACTTAAAGTTGACCTTTGGTCTCATAACTGTAATAAAGAAATAGGTTTGCACTGCTGGTCTACATAACATACCCGGGTATCATGACTCTAGTCCAAATGGTTCTTATAGGATATTGTTGTTTGAAGTTTTTAACATATTTGACTCCTGTGACCTTGAAAGGTCAAGGTCATTTTAATAAGAAAAAGCCGTTCAAAATAAAAAGTTGACTGACGGACGACGGAGGCCGCAGTACAGCATAAGCTCACATGGCCTTTTGTGCCAGGTGAGCTAAAAATGTGTGCCAGGTGAGCTAAAAATGATTAAATTAGGGAAATATATGCCAAATTTTGATATTTTTATGCTTTGCACACCAAACAGGTAACAGAAATGCTAAGTATTCCTTTGTGACACTATTAATCTTCTCCTTTGCACTCACATTCCCCGAGAAGTTTCAACACAAAATAATCAAAAAGAACTGGTACAAATGTCATGCCTCGGACTAAGTCACCAGGGCAAGGCTGACCCAGGAACAAACATTGGTACCATGATAGCACTTTCCTCTTCATGCAAGGCAATGATTTGTTTGAGGATATCTTTATCATAAAATCATGATTAGGAAGTGATTATATAACATGGGATCTGAATATTTTTTTAAGTAGCTTGTAAATCTTTCAAAATTCCTATGTTTGGCCCGTCACACAAACTTCAGTTTTACAAACCACGATCTGATCACCTTATCCTACTGATATTTCAGACCAAATTTGGAAAAGTAGGATTTTGAATAATTCAAGTTCAGATTTTAGGCCTACCCGAGTTCAATCAAAATCCACTCAGCTGTTTTTTAACCAACAAGAATAAGATGTAGGCTGCTCTATAATACTATTTATTTGAATAGAATAGTTAATTTTGTAAGTAATCTGAAATGTGTCTTTAAAGTCAGTACACATCTGGTCATAGCATTAATTAGCAGAGTGCAACTTGTGCTACTTGGCTAATTGTATCAAACAGGGTTTGCTATATGTTCATTGTTATAATACAAATATTAAGTAAAAACATACTTTGTTACATTTTTGATTAGCTTCTTAACATCTTCATTTATATACTTACTGCTGTTCCATAGGTAGAAAATTGAGAATATTCAAATAACAACTTGGACCTGAAACCAAACAATGTATAATGTTAAGAAGTTGAAACACTTAAGTCCAAATACTAATTAGCATTACTTTAAAAGTTTACATCTTGGAAATTTGAAAAAAAAATTATTGTAGTATAACCAGTATACCACAGAGACAGATAACAGGTCAATCAAGCCAAAATAGAGGTGTGGACCAAAGCAAACCTGTTGTCTTTTAAGGTATTTTTAAGGTTTTTGATTAGTCCATTCTCTGCCCTATGGTATGAAGTACTATAAAATTCATTTTACTTCACCTTATTATCAAGTAATGGTGTCATATTACTAGCATTGACTATTAAATGCAAGTCATTATTCTTTGGCTAAATACCAGGAAGCACAGTATATGTTTTCTGATGAAATAAGATTACCTTTCCTCGTTCCATAATCGCTTCTGTCGTTTTCTTTCCAGGTAGTCATCATCATACCTTCTTCTCTTCCCAGACTTCTCGGAGTCATCACTCTCGTTACCAGATTCATCGTCAGACTAGATTCCAATAAATAGACATGTGTTAGGGCTTTATTGATTCATCAGTATGTGATCTTGATATACCAAACTTGTGATCAGTCTCAAAATTAAACATGCACAACTAAAAAACAAGGAAAACCTATGTATGAAATTTCATAAAGATCTGTTCAGCACTCTTTGATATATAACATCAAGAATTATTTACATCTGGATGACTGACCAGATATATGGTGATCTGAACAGCCTTATCTCATGCTTACAGACAAGATCATGAGAATCATATAAAGTAGTGCTATACAGTATCTATTGTGTTAAGATACTTACAGAAATATGTCTTATTCCTTTAATGAAGGTTGACATATGTAAGCTTTTTCTAACAGCACTGTGTGGCATTAGCTTTGCTCAATAACCATTTCGTGATATATGCGTTTTTTCTAGAAGCGCTAGATTACATTAGCTTGTGTTTAATTTACTAAATAATTGCTTGTGATATAACTGACAGTTTTTTAATATGCATAAAAAAGCCCCTACAATTCAATAATGAATGTCAAATAATTTCTTTTATATTATATTATTATTTCTTAAACTTTAGATTGATACCTACCTCATCTCTGAAGACTTGGTCATACTCTGGAAGCTCTTCAAACTCATCCTCCTTCATCAACAGTTTGACTTGGACAGCATTATATATGTTGTGTATGTCGACTGGACGGTGACTGGTACAGAACAGAGATTGATATACGTAACAACCAGGGATTTACATGTATCTATGATTGGATTCTGTTTGTCAATATTACACACACATTTATATGTTTATAATTAGGTCTATCAACATGTGTTGAATAACTGCCACGGAAACTGTAAAATTCCCATAGCGAAACAATTATAAACCTTATGTGATGTGAATTCTGTCTTGGATTCTAACAAGACAAAACACATAAATGGTCGATGGTGATGTAATTTAGACTTTAGACAATAACAGACTGGATTACCCTACCAGAATCTATGTGCATGACTTCTTCCCTTGAATCCTTCAAAAGTGGCATCTCCACTTATAACTATTGAAGGGGTCAAATCACTATACTAATCCACAAGGCCACTGTACAAATTGTATATATGTTAAAATGTTGTTAATCTTCAATGTTTTCATTTTATTAATGTATTCACATATTATATGAGAGTAACATATCTTAATATAAAATTTTAAGTCCATTCAAAATTGTACATAGCGCACAGTTCCGGACGTTTTACATTCCTATTACAGGAGTCTACTCCCGTACTTGGGCGGACCAAGTCCAGACCCCAAGAAGGAAGAAGAAGAAAGAAGAATTTGCTCTTATATTTACAAAACACATGTAATTTTTAATAATTTTAAGAGCAAAATCAGCACAAGCAAGGATTATCAAACATAGCAGACAATGAGTTAACCTTAGGTGTAAGTAAAATCCACTGTGTCTGCGAACACATTCTTCAGTGGTAATACCTTACCTGTCACATTAGTAATACCTTACCTGTCACAGATGTAGAAGCGGACACATTCCTCAGGCTGTAGGGTCTCTACCACATCTATCGTCCCCCCACAGTTGATCATCAATACATGCTTGATCTGCAATATTGTATTAAGATAAAGATCAATTACACAGGGAGTCTGCGGAGAGGGGTCGAAGGTAAGTCGATGGAAGCAAAGGCAGGATCAAAGGTATTTAATTATAATTCATAGATTTATGTTAACATCAAAGAAGACTTAAGTTAATAGAATAACAATTTGTTTACTGGATATCAAAATTTCAGTTAAATGGTCACAATTAATAAATTAGAATACTATCAGAATATTTACCAGTATATGTTACTAACCATGTGTGTGAAGAGATGGCAGAAAGGGTATGGGTGTACATCCGTAAATAATTCAGTATTAATACTGGAGATAGAATTTCAATTATACAATTTCTGCTTCCCTGTCTACCAAAGTAAGTCAAGTGCCTACCTAGTGTTCATTTTCTTATATTTACTATTTTAGACAATTTTATTTTTCATTTTATTGAACCAGTATAGGTAATGAGGAGGAATTGAGGGAGAACCCCAATCTCCTTCAATAAAAAAATAAACAATGTGAGCTGGGCTGAGAACCAATGCAAGTTTAATATTATTCCGCCTTATGAACATTTATTATGTTGAGTAATAATATGGAGTATGATCTGAATATAGAGACAGATATGTCTGCATTCAGAATAAACTAAGTAAAGCTATGAACAAGTTACCCCTTCAGAATTCTCTACATATGCACGCTCCAACTCCTCACGTCCAGACACCGGTACTATGGTGTAAAGTATTTGGTCGCTCTGGAACAAACACTGAAATCAAAAATGAAGATGTTTTAAAATATAACAAACATTGAAATATTTGATGGAATCTGAAATAAAAACAAACAATTTCACAACTCATATTGATTACATTATAGGGACACACTGATATAACATTGTAAACGATTATAATTACATCCTTATTACTTTGTGGTGCATATTGTGTGCACAACAATGTAATAAATTGTATGTATTTCATACCGTCCGGTAAACAGAAGTCGGCAAATGTATTGAAAACCAGTACCTTTCAAAGGCTTTGTATTTATGACCTGCAATAAGATTTTGGTAACATGTGTTACAAATCACTTTAAATCATCATTCATTTTGACTCATATATATAATAATCTTTTTTTTTTTTTAACTGAAATACTGTTTCTGATGATTTTGTAAATTTTTAAAGGTTTTAGACTACTGTCCAATGATATTATATATGAAAGGCAATACCGTTTTCTCATACAAAAGTATCATCCAGGGGTGTAAAAGTGTTTTTCAGAATACTAGCCCCGGGCTAGCAGCTTATAGACACTAATAATCCACTGGCCCGAAATAAAATTCTGCTAGCCCGACAAATACAAAATGGATCAAGCTGACAACATGATCACACAATCTATATCTCATTCACAGATGGATCAAGCTGACAACATGATCACACAATATATATCTCATTCACAGATGGATCAAGCTGACAACATGATCACACAATCTATATCTCATTCAAAGATGGATCAAGCTGACAACATGATCACACAATCTATATCTCATTCACAGATGAATATGTTTTCCTTAAATAATAAATAATATTATATATTTTTTAATAATTGAATGCCTTAAAAGTTACTGAAACTTAAACCAATATTAGCGATTTTTATTTTACTCTTCCTGAAAATCAGTCCAGATCCCAGTTTCAGTATTAGAAAACAAACATGGCAGACTTGCGACTTTTGGAGAGATGAACTTTATTTCTGTACCCCACATATTCATGCTTAAATCAAATAAAAGAGAATGATTTGCAACAAAGAGGGCCAATTTGGTGGTTAGTATAGACTTTCAATGCTATTTAGGATGTGAATAGTGCCTACTATCACACATCCTGACATAGCACACGTGAAAGGCAACAGAATGTCTTGCATAAACAATGCGGCGTGAATGACTGCATGTGTTCTGATAGGTATTGTAGTGAAAATTACCAGGAATTTATAGGCTAAAATGTTGAATGGTTACTCTCATGATGATAGAATAGAACAGAAGCACTTTTGTTAGTTATATTATGACAACCTAAAAAAGTCACTAGCCCCGGGCTATAGTAATATAAGCCTCTAAATTTCACTAGCCCAAACTGAAAATCTGGTAGCCCCGGGCATCAGCTAGTGGATTTTTACACCCCTAGCCTGTGATCATATTTACCTGAAGTATCTTGCACGCACATAGAGCATCAACATCAAAGGCAACAAGAACCAGGACTCTCTGTGAAAATAGAATGGTCATAAAAAAATATATATATATAAGCAAGCAAATTCATGGAATTTATATCCCCTGATTGCAGGACATATTGTAGGTAAACATTATTGAGGTTAGTTTTAAACATGTGAGTATTGTGCTGTTGAGACATAATATCACGTATAGCTTGAAAAAAACATACAGAAACTGCAAATAATGATGTTTTCTGTTAAACAAGGGGCCATAACTCTGCCAAATGGAGTCTGATTTAAGTGGTTGTCAAACTTGACCGAGCCCTTATAATTAAGGCATTTAACCCTGTTACCAAGTTTGAAGAAAATCGGTTAACATTTGTTGCACAGAAACGGCAGATAATGATGTTTTTCGTTATTCAAGGGGCCATAACTCTGCCAAATGGAGTCTGATTTAAGTGGTTGTCAAACTTGGCCGAGCCCTTAAGGCATTTAACCATGATACCAAGTTTGAAGAAAATCGGTTAACATTTGTTGCAGTTATTGCAAGGAAACGGCAGATAATGATGTTTTTCGTTATTCAAGGGGCCATATAACTCGAGCTCCGCCAAATAAAGTCTGCTGAAAGTGGTTATGTTTCGTTATTAAAGGGGCCATAACTCCGCCAAATACAGTCCGCTGAAAGTAGTCATCGAACTTGGTCGAGCCCTTACGGCATTTAAACCTGTTAACAAGTTTGAAGAAAATGGGTTAACATTTGTTGCAGTTATATTTATTGCACGGAAACGAAGTGTGACAGACAGACAAACCCAAATTAATATCCCCGTTTCGGTGAAAGCGGGGGATAACAATGCAGTAATTATATATAAGCTTTGTTAACCTTATCCACCAGTCTCAGTTTTCCCTATCATAATATATATTATATTATACATTCATTATATAATTACCTTGAATATAATTCCTTACCATGTTATGTTCCTGGCATAGCAATAAGTCGAGTCTGATTGCAAATTTCACTCATCATTTTATTTTTATTTTCACCCAATCAACCTATGCCCTTACATTATTATGTGTCTGCACGTGTCTCTAGTTTTCCTTGCTTCTAACATTCACTTTCAGACAATGCAATCTGAATTAACGACGAAGCTATTGGTGGTAGAAGCTTCTAAGCTTAATTACGTATACATAGATCTAGTATTAGAGTTGTGAATACATGCATGGTCCCACCACCATCATGACAGTACATTCTACTTTATAAAAATAAATAAGAAACAACTTTAGTATAGTTGCACATCTATATTTCAATTGATCCAACATCTGAAATATGGTAATTCATGTATCTATCTGGCTTCGGCCCATGGCAGGGCTCGTTCGGACATCTGAACTTCCAACAGGACAAGTTAAATAATGTTCCAAAACGGAGGTGCTGCCATACTTCCCAGAGCGGACTTATGTTATGTTGGTCTTAATGTTCAATTGTTATTCCTCGACTAGCCGACTTTAAATAATGTTTATCTTATCTCATTCTGAAAGCAGTATTTTCAGAGGAGCCTGAAGTTCTGTCAATAATGAATAATAACAGTAATACAAACAAAATACCTATAATATGCTATTTTTTAAGCATATTATAGGTATTTTGTTTGCATTACTGTTATTATTCATTATTGACAGAACTTTAGGCTCCTGTGCCGTGGTATTATCAAATTCTGAATCGGTAAATATACTTACTTTTGTAAGTCTAGCCTAATCTGAACTAACTTGAGATATCAAAATAATCAACACACCAACTACGATAACAGAATCTAAACACTGTAAAAAAATAAGTGTATTTATATGAAAAATACTGTACAAAATCATCAGATCATCTGATCATTGTCAATATTATTACGTTATTATTTATATTATTTATCAACAAACAGATCAGGCTAATACTATATGATGAGTTTATGTGAGAGTAAAGTAAGAACAGATCTGATAAGATACATAGAATAAATGAGATACTCACATGATTTTGCACGACATCATAAAACCCCTTTCTAAAATCTTTCACGAACATTTTCACATTTGTTTATGGCGGGTTTTTAAACCGGAAACTAATTTAGTTTAGGCGCACGCGCATATGTATTTTCATTATATATACATCCGGTTTCTGTTCTTGCCTGTCATCGCACATTGTCGATTTAACACGTCTCAAAATTGAGTAATTTCTTAAAATAAACCGTTCTAGAAGATCGTCAAAAGCATCTACACAACATGGTTTGTATATTGATATGAGCTTCATATGCCTACAATACAGTAGTTGGTCAACAGGCAGTTGTATCTGGTATTTTATACCTGAGCTAAAATCTAAAATCCGCTACAAACAGTACATGTATTTACATATGTTCAGGTATTAAATACCAGACACAAGCGCCTGTGGTTGGTCACTGAATAAACACTTCACTAACTGCACTGTAAGTAACGTTATTCATAGTTTCTGGAAGTACTGTACAGTATCACCAAACAAAAATCTTATGTAATCAATAATATATATATTATTAGGGCTAGATGATTTTATTTTTATCTTTTTTTTGGGTTGAAATAGAAGGAAGGATGTGTGGGGGAATCTCTTCTAAAATTGTTATGGGCAGGGAAAATTTAAATGGAAAGGTCTGGTGATGAAGGAAAAAAGGAATTTTCAGAATTAAACAATTTCTATTCTAAAAGGAAAATGGAAAATACCAGTTGTGACCTTAATGAAAGTAAATATAATTTTACTGTAGATATGTATGAAAAGATACAATAAATATTTCATTTGATTCTAATATATATGTATATAAATATTTTACAGTTTGGTTTCGGCAGAGCAGGATTTGAGATGGGAAACAAGTTTAAGGAGACATACAGATGTTATTCTGTGTCCATGATGGCCACAGAACGAGATGATGTGGAGAGAGGAGGGAAAAGTAAGTAGCATGCTCACCATTGTCACTCCCATGACCTACAAAAGTGGTGTTCACTCCGGTGGGAAATTTTAAACGATTTAAAACCGTGGAAACTACTGACAGAATTTAGCAGCTGTTGGTGGTAGTAAGAGCGGACTTGGATCAATAAATAATCCATTTATTAATGTATGGGAGGTATGTGTAATGTGTTGTGTCATAGTCAATATTTGTTGTCAGCACCTCAAAGCTCTCCGACACCAAACGATGTCTGAGAATTCCACATTTTCATACAACAGTGAGCTCTGTCCCCCACACACCAGACATCTATCTGTCAAAATGTCCAAGACTGGTGTTTGGGCCAGAGGAAACTTGGGCTACTGTAATACAAGTCAACCTCCTATTTCCAAACTTTGTCAGAACATTGATCCACAATTTTTGATGAAGAAACATCTGCATGGAGACCATATCTAGAGCATACACTGTCTATAAAGAAACAATAATCTAAGGATCTATGTCAGGTATTATGGGTTGCATAATCAAAACCTACTATATAAGAACATCATAGACAATTTTTTTAACCAATCTTAATTTTCAAGGCCTCTATTAATCTCTTGTATTACTGTATGTTTAGTTTTGGGAACTTCACTGTTTTGTCACCTTCGATTATTTAGATAATAAATATTTCCTTCTCTTCAAGGTTTCTAATGTAGACGGCTTTATTGTGTTTAAAATCTTGAATATTCCATACCATAGTGTTCCATTATTAATGAAGGAAATTCTGCTGATTTCAAAGATCATAATTGAGGTTAAAAAAAGCACATCAACAATTGATCTCCTTCCTAAAAGGGAGACCTGACAAGCATGCTTTACATATCTCTTGATATTCCTTTCAGTCATGATGCCACCATCTGCTTTGGATAAATTAAGTAAGTACATCTACAACTTCATTTAGTTGTTATAAGACAACATGACAGTTAATATTTTAAAATGTCTTCAGCATTTAATAGGTTAGTAGACATGTACTAAAAGCTAGAAGGCAACAGGAATCCTATGAACAACTAAAATCTGCCTTACATGGTGTATAATACTATTTAGGTTTTCATTGATCTAGATATGCATCTTTGTAATTGTATAACAATCGGCACTGTTACCATTGTTAGGTTTTTCTGTCAATTAATGGCCATGCCCATGTGTGTAACATCTTCTAAGCTGTCAAATCATTAATGCTGTTAAAATCCTCTTTGTGAACCACAAAAAAATGTGTCTTATTAAGAATAAGTAAACTGATTTGAAACATAAAAAATGTTTCTAATTAAGGACTGAATTGTATATTCCTAAGAACCTACAGTTTGTCTCTAAGTTTATTATTTCTTGTAACAAACCAGGTTGTTTGATAATCTTCATTCCATAGCTCGCCTCCATATACAGTACCCAATGCTGTTCAAGCTCAGCAACAAAGGCAAGGCCAGGGAGACACACTGTGGTGTACTGGAGTTTGTTGCAGATGAAGGCAGGATCTTCATACCATACTGGGTACGCTTTATCATTATACTGAATAGAGTTGGTCAGCATACTAGGGCTGCAATGATACACTAACCTGACGATATGATACCTTTCAGGATACTGTGGTCACGATACAATATGTATCACGATACAATACATATCACGATACATATAGTAACAGTAGAAGCAAAGTGAAAAGATCTGTTGCAAAATTTTAATGAAAATATTACAACTCGAAATAGACTTGGTCCAAAATAGGCATAACTTTAAAGTTTCACACAATTCTAGTCTTTCGTCGTGCATGCCGAGCTGGAGCTGTCACTCCATGTATTGGAATAGATGAGTAGACTAAATTCAGAAACGAAAAAATTCCGTAAAGTATCGTAGGTGTATTGTGACCTCCAAAAAAATACCTCATTTCTGAATTTTGTAAAAAACAAAAATGCAAATCATCAAGACAAAAGTAAAATACATTTATCAGTTGAAGTTTGTTTTAACTTGTATCAAAATATTTTAAATAAATCAAAGCAACGTGAATTAAAAACACTAAATCACCATTAAAGTCAACTTAATGAGATTTTTATCTATTTTTCTGCGATTATATAAAAAAAATCATAAAAAAAATCCTATTACATTTATGTAGGGTATGTTTCATAAAATTGATTAAATGTTTTGAGTAGTACTGTACAAAAAAAAGACATTATCTGAATAACTGCTCAGACAGTACTTTTGTTTTAATTCTAATGCTGCAATATCAATGTCAGAGGCGTAACTATTTCAGGACTGTTGCTCTGACTGAATACTTCCCGGGGATTGAATCCAATCATGACTTGTTGACGTCTATAATGAACCCATGTTTGTGCATTGACAGATGATGAAGAACCTATTACTGACAGAAGGGGACTTGGTAACTGTTGAAAACATGTCACTCAAAGTTGCCACATTTGCACGATTCCAGCCCCAGAGTGTGGACTTCCTTGACATCACCAATCCCAAAGCTGTGTATCCTTGCTACTATATAGTCAGCACACTGACACCAGTATGTGTAGCACCTCTGATGGACTTCCTTCTCAGTGCCCAATACTGTATATATATAGTCAGCACACTGACACCAGTATGTGTAGCACCTCTGATGGACTTCCTTCTCAGTGCCCAGTACTGTATACATATATTGGATTATAAGTCCAGGGAATAATCTTGTATATGCTGGATATCATGAAACATTAATTTTGTGATTTTACATTTAAAAACAATTTGTTATTCTATTTAATTTTTGCCATAGAAACTCAAAAAGTGTAAAAATATTTCACCTTTTTTGGTCCTATTTCTGAGATTCATGAATTCATATATAATCCTTAAGTTATGCCTTCAGCCTAGAGAACATGCTGCGAAGTTTTGCTTGTTTGTCAACAGATGATATAATCTCTATAAAGTACAATGAAAGGGTAGGTACTATGTGTTCTGGTGTAACCTAAATATAATGGTGACATATCAAATCTCAAAAATGACTAAATGTTTTCTGAGGATCTATATTTTACAAAAATAAATCACATGTGATAATGGTCAAAAGTAGACAAACCTGGTGTTATAAACCTTTCAGGAGGACTTAGGCCAATTTAACGACTTAACAGTCTGGTATTAGTAAATATTGCTGGTATACTTTTCTTAAGATATTTGCTATCACAAACATTAGACTCTTAGAGTTGTCTCCCTTAAAAAAACAGTCTCTAATCATTCAAATTAAACTTAGTACATGTTAATCAATGCATTCTAGTACAGATAACATTCAAATGTGACATCATCAAAATTTGAATTACTACACAGAGATTGTACAGATTTCTTAAGAGTGGCACTTTTTTAAATAAGCTACATGTCACAATTAACTAGCATATGTCCTTAACTCAAGAAAAATGTGTGTAGACAAACTTTTAACTTCGAATATTTCCAGGATAGCCGGTTGATTTAGATTGTTATTATTGTTACTAGCCCACTATCAATGTTTGTTACTATCAATGTTTGTTACTATCAGTGTTTTTTACTATCAGTGTTTGTTACTATCAATGTTTGTTACTATCAATGTTTGTTACTATCAGTGTTTGATACTATCAATGTTTGTTACTAACAGTGTTTGTTACTATCAATGTTTGTTACTATCAGTGTTTGTTACTATCAGTGTTTGTTACTATCAGTATTTGTTACTATCAATGTTTGTTTACACAGGAGTACGAGATGCTCGTGTTGGAGACACGACCTGACAGAGCAGTGTCCATTATAGAGTGTGACATGAACGTGAGTACTACACGTTGAATTGAATTTCTGTATAAAATCAATTTTCCAATGCACATTTTGTTAATTCATACCCTACAGCTTCCAGAGGAATTACTATGAAACATTTAAGAGTTAACTGTTATTTAGTTTTATCTCATTATTATATCATATCAGATATATCCAGTTGACTTTGCAAATGAGAAATGACAAATCAGTTTAAAATTAAACATACCTAGTATTATGTTTAAAAAAACAGCTGCCATGGTACTTATTATATTATAGCAGATTTTTTATATGAATGAGAATTGACATCTAGAACATGGAGTAAAAAAGCTTATGATTATCCTAACATTCCTTTGTGAGAAAATCATAATGGTGAATAGTGTATGTACTAGATAAGTATGTGTGTATCTTTTTGGGGGGTGCCAAAGAAATTCTTTTGTCAACAAATTTTGATCGAACTTCATACAATAGTGACATTCAAGTTCGAGAATACCTCATAGGAGTTTGTGTTTCAGGAAGTCTAGTCAAAGGTCACGTTAACCATTAGAGAAAGTATTTTGTCTTCGCTCTTTCGACTTCAGTTCTGAACAGCGTTTTCATCAAACTTTAAATAGTCAAGTATTAAATACCTTAAATGTCTAACAGACAGCTGTACACTGTAGCATGCTGTATCTTAAACAATATCTGACAGTTTTGAGTTGAGTGTTTCCATTAATAGGTTGAATTCTCCCTGTAGACCACAGTATTGGTGTAATGTGTGTTGTGTAGCAATCATTCCTTGAATTGGTCAATCACAGATAATGAGACAGGTCAGTTGGTTAGAATATCTGTTGATAGTTTGGAGGTTCCAAGTTCAGGTTTCAGTTTGGCCATTCATTTTTTTTATCGTGACAATGATTGACCTGATTACAGGTAGACTTTGCGCCACCCGTAGGCTACAAGGAGCCAGTACCGATGAAGAAGCAAGAGGAGGAGGAAATAGAAGCAGATGTAAGTTTACAGTCTATTTGTCTTATTTTTATTTGGAAAGAAATGAAGTTTTTAAAATCCTTTTCGAAAACCATAAAATTTTGTTCGGCTCACCTGGACTGAATATGATATCATCTCCATATGTGCTATCTGGAGCATGTTAAATATTCACATCGTATCCCACTGTATGCGGTTTCACAGGTTTTAAGTTGTGAATGAAATGTATATAAACTTTATTTTACAACAATTATGAAACAAGATATTCCAACTTATCTTAATCATTCTTGTTGGCAATGGAAGCATGTAGGGGTCTTAATGTGGGAACAGAATACCTTGAGAAAACCCACATAGTTAGGCATGTGACCCAATACTTACCACGTCAAATCGAGGAGGACCCTGGATGTTGTGGTGAAAAAGGAGAGTGCTTATCTACTGCACCAACCATCCACCCTTACTTGGGAAATATTCTTCCCCAGTGCCAGAATTGTTGTCTTACTTTGGGTACTGATTTCATCATATCCTGATCTGTTGTTTTGTTCCAGAATGCTATGGACGTAGCCGATTGTATGGATAATGCATTTAGGGTAAGTTAAAAATGTTGTTGAATGCATTAAAATCAACCTGTTGATGACTAAAATGAAATCCTTTCCCTTGTTGCACTTGATGAATCAATCATATTGTTGAATATATTTTGAAAATAAACCCAAAATCTTTTTAGACACAATCAAATCTGATATGAAATAATTTGGTGCAAAGTCTCAGTAAATCTGTTCATGCTAAGCCCATTTGTTAGTTTCTTATTGTGTAAAGTAACATGGGATCTTGATGTATCAATGCAGGCATTTAGTGGCTCTGGTAACCGACTGGATGGGAAGAAGAAGGGTATGGAAATTGATAATCAAATCACCCCTACAGGCCCCACAAAAAGGTGAGAACAATCAGACAATGCTTGCGTTTTGCCTGTCGTTTCGGGTCACTTTCCTGTTATCTGGTAATCATTTACATTTTGCACGAATCTGAAATCAAGCAAACAATTTTTTTAATTATGGTATGGTAGGTATTTGCTCTTTTAAACAACACAGCTTAATTCATAGATACATTGCTATTCAAATAACAGACTTAATTAATACATAATACTGACAAACTCTACATTGTTTGACTATAATTGATACTGATCAACTCTGTGGTGAAGTTGTTTGATACAGACTATAATTGATGCTGATCAACTCAGTGATGAAGTTGTTTGATACAGACTATAATTGATGATGTCAGATCAACGCAGTGGTGAAGTTGTTTGATACAGACTATAATTGATGCTGATCTACTCAGCGATGAAGTTGTTTGATACAGACTATAATTGATGCTGTCAGATCAACTCAGTGGTGAAGTTGTTTAATACAGACTATAATTGATGCTGATCTACTCAGTGATGAAGTTGTTTGACACAGACTATAATTGATGCTGTCAGATCAACTCAGTGGTGAAGTTGTTTAATACAGACTATAATTGATGCTGATCAACTTAGTGATGAAGTTGTTTGATACAGACTATAATTGATGCTGATCTACTCCATGATGAAGTTGTTTGATACAGACTATAGTTGATGCTGCTCAACTCTGATGAAGTTGTTTGACACGGACTGTAATTGATGCTGATCTACTCAGTGATGAAGTTGTTTGATACAGACTATAATTGATGCTGATCAACTCAGTGATGAAGTTGTTTGACACCGACTATAACTTTGATATGTTTTGTTTTACCTATAGGGGAATTCCAAACTACAACTATAAGAAAGGGAGTCTCACATTTATACGGACACAAAGACAGATACCAACGGAGGGTGAAGATGTAAGTGTTACTGATGCTGGATAAATCTATCACATTTATTTTGTGTCAGGGATTTAAAACTAGTCTTAAATGTGAATGTCATGAATATTTTTCAACCTTGTTTTATATTTAAAGAAAAACAGTGTTAGGTTTTTATGGTATGATTTCTTGGCTGAAAATACTTCATGCTGCTACATATTAATGCTAGGAGTATCCAAATAGGATTTCTTGAATGTTTATCATTCTTTTCAAATTAAAATTTTGTTTAGAATATCCAAATCACCACTAATTACATTTCCTGTAAAATATGCTGAATTTTTTTACACAAAGTGATAGGTTTTATGCAGCCAATCTATACAGAAAAGATACAAGTCAATACAAAATGTACTTATATTACGAAAATGTCATGTAATATATCTCATTCTTCAAAAATGTATCTATCATGGTATACCAACTGTTCTTACTTGACAATAAACATAGCAGATGAAAACGTATCAGTGTTGGTATAATTACATACAATTACATGGTGCAACAAAAAAGGCCAAAAAATTAACATAAAACAAAATGGGTTTTTTTGTTGGTTTATCTATTTTTTTAACAACCATCAAATTATTGATATGGGAACATTCAACTTTCCCTCAAATTTAAGAAGTCTTGACTGATTGTGGTTTAGGTATTTCAATTCAGGTATGAAATTCTATATGTTTCACATATGTTGGATGTGGTTAATTTGTTCATACATGTGAATAATTCTGTGTATATGATTTGTAAGTGTGCGTCACAGTGTGGGTGGGTAGGTCCTTGTGTGGAAGGGTTGGTGCTTGTGTGGAAGGGTTGGTCCTTGTTTGGAAGGGTTGGTGCTTGTCTGTGTCACAGTGTGGAAGGGCAGGTCCTTATGTGGAAGGGGTGGTGCTTGGGTGTGTGACAGTGTGGGTGGGAAGGTCCTTGTGTGGAAGGGTTGGTGCTTGTGTGTGTCACAGTGTGGAAGGGTAGGTCCTTATGTGGAAGGGTTGGTGCTTGTGTGGAAGGGTAGGTCCTTGTGTGGAAGGGTTGGTGCTTGTGTGGAAGGGTTGGTGCTTGTGTGTGTCACAGTGTGGGTGGGTATGTCCTTGTGTGGAAGGGTTGGTGCTTGTGTGTGTGACAGTGTGGGTGGGTAGGTCCTTGTGTGGAAGGGTTGGTGCTTGTGTATGTGGCGGTGTGGGTGGGTAGGTCCTTGTGTGGAAGGGTTGGTGCTTGTGTGGAAGGGTTGGTGCTTGTGTGGAAGGGTAGGTCCTTGTGTGGGTGGGTAGGTCCTTGTGTGGAAGGGTAGGTCCTTGTGTGGGTGGGTAGGTCCTTGTGTGGAAGGGTTGGTGCTTGTGTGTGTGACAAGAAAACAGGAGAAGACCGACAGCGATCGCCTGCATTGCAGCACTTTAATCAGTGTCTTGTCCAAATATAGGACTTATTTTGCAAAATATTCTTTTCTTTGTTATAAGGATGGAAAGGGATTTGAGGCATTTTCTGGATCAGGACAAGCTCTACGCAAAAAGGGACGGAAGTGATGTATGGACCCCGAGTTTTATTAACTGCCTGCCAAATCTACATGCACAGAGTCCTAAGAATTTTCCATCAAACAGCACAGATGTGATTCTCTGTGGATTCCAAAACATTGAGAACTGTTTGAACAGATTTAGTCAGGATGCGCTGCATATAGGTTATTATTCTTTAAGGAAGCTTTATGACTTTGACATGAGAAAGGTTTGTGCCAATACAACTTCCCCCAGTGTTTGTATTGAGTTATTGGACGTACCAATCACAACCATTACAAAGTACTGTAGAAAAAGTTAACACTGTGTGAAAAACTATTAATGTGATGGATGATTGTTTGAGTGGCCATATTTGGTGCAAGATATATGAAGTATTAAGTTTGATCCCTACATGTATATGTCTAAGACAACACAGCGTGAAACCATGGTTTGGAGGTGTGTAACTACAGGAGTGTGTGAGGCATGCCTTGTTCTGAATACAGTTGGTCCCTCCTCCGGTCTCCTGATGCATTTAAAAACTTCAGTCAATGATGAGGTTTGAGTTAGGGAATCTGAGTACATGTGTATTTTATTTAAATATATTTCATTTCGTATTTTTAAATTTGTTTTCAAATATTCTTGATATTTTTTATTCGGCCAGAATTCAGTGACAGTAATTACCGGTAAAGATTTACCTTATATTACACAAAACCATTTATTTCAGGACAATCACTTTAGGCCTACAAAAGTAAATAGTTCTATGATAACTACAAGTCCAAAACCAATTTAAAAAAAGCAATTTGAAGAAATCTTTTTTAAGAGAAGAAGTATTTTTCAAGCATGATAAGAAACGTACAAGTTGAATAGATTGTAACCACTAAATTGTGATGGTGTATGTAAGTGGATGGTGTGTTCGAATGTATACGTATGATCCAGAAATGGAAGTGCTAAATTAACCTCATCTATTTATTATGACAACATTGTTGAGTATGTGTTACCTTTGTAATAAAACAAAAAGGTAAATATTTTGTTGATTTATTTTGTCTTTAAAGGAGAACTAAGTCCAATAACAGTACAGCGACTATGGATATATAAACATCAGCTCTCTCAAAAATACTTTAAAAAAGTGTCCAAAAGAACCAGATAACCAGCTGTCTATAGTTTGATAGAGGCCATCTCATCATGTACAGTCTGTCATGACCAGACAGTTCAGTAAAGAAGAATTCTCTTGAGCATGTCAGTTGTCTCCCCTTTCCCTATTACACAGGTAAATTTATTCTAGAAACTCTGAAAAGAAACACATTTAAAATCACTGACATCTATGTAACACCTTTAATCGGTAAAATATTCTTTGTAAAACATGTTGTTGTGGAAAATCAAAATGTCTGTCTATGAAGACACCTTTGTATAACATCCATTGTCTGTGAGAACTACCTTTGTTTAAAAAACACCTGTCTATAAAGGTCACCTTTGTATAACATCTATTGTCTGAGAACTACCTTTGTTTATAAAACACCTGTCTATAAAGGTCACCTTTGTATAACATCTATTGTCTGAGAACTACCTCTGTTTATAAAACAACTGTCTATAAAGGTCACCTTTGTATAACATCTATTATCTGTGAGAACTACCTTTGTTTATAAAACACCTGTCTTTAAAGGTCACCTTTGTATAACAATCATTGTCTGTAAGGACTACCTCTGTTTATAAAACACCAGTCTATAAAGGTCACCTTTGTATAACATCCATTGTCTGTGAGAACTACCATTGTTTATAAAACAAATGTCTATAAAGGTCACCTTTGTATAACATTCATTGTCTGTGAGGACTATCTGTTTATAAAACACCTGTCTATAAAGGTCACCTTTGTATAACATCTATTGCTGTGAGAACTACCTTTGTTTATAAAACACCTGTCTATAAAGGTCACCTTTGTAAAACATCTATTGTCTGAGAACTACCTCTGTTTATAAAACAACTGTCTATAAATGTCACCTTTGTATAACATCTATTGTCTGTGTGAACTACCTGTTTATAAAACACCTGTCTATATAGGTCACCTTTGTATAACATACATTGTCTGTGAGGAATACCTGTGTTTATAAAACACCTTTCTATAATTAAAATGTCACCTTTGTATAACATCCATTGTCTGATAAGTACCTCTGTTTATAAAACACCTGTCTATAAAAGTCATCTTTGTATAACAATCATTGTCTGTAAGGACTACCTCTGTTTATAAAACACCGGTCTATAAAGGTCACCTTTGTATAACATCCATTGTCTATGAGAACTACCTTTGTTTATAAAACACATGTCTATAAAGGTCACCTTTGTATAACATTCATTGTCTGTGAGGACTATCTGTTTATAAAACACCTGTCTATAAAGGTCACCTTTGTATAACATCTATTGCTGTGAGAACTACCTCTGTTTATAAAACAACTGTCTATAAAGGTCACCTTTGTATAACATCTATTGTCTGTGTGAACTACCTGTTTATAAAACACCTGTCTATATAGGTCACCTTTGTATAACATACATTGTCTATGAGGAATACATGTGTTTATAAAACACCTTTCTATAATTAAAATGTCACCTATGTATAACATCCATTGTCTGATAATTAAGTACCTCTGTTTATAAAACACCTGTCTATAAAAGTCATCTTTGTATAACATCTATTGTCTGTGAGAACTACCTCTGTTTATAAAACAACTGTCTATAAAGGTCATCTTTGTATAACATCTTTTGTCAGACAATCTATGAGAACTACCTCTGTTTATAAAACAACTGTCTATAAAGGTCATCTTTGTATAACATCTATTGTCTGTGAGGACTACCTCTGTTTATAAAACACCTGTCTATAAAGGTCACCTTTGTATAACAGTCATTGTCTGTGAGGACTACCTTTGTTTATAAAACACCTGTCTATAAAGGTCATCTTTGTATAACATCTCTTGACTGAGAATTATCTCTCCTATTTGTTGGACACATTAGACTTATTTTACTGATTACCTCCCTTCGGCCAGCTTACAGGTGACTGGTATTTTAACCGTAAAGAATAGTGGTCGTGTAGGTTTGAGGGTATAGGGACAGAAGAATAATATGAATTTGAGTATGGGTAAAAGAGGGTAAAAAAATACATAAATGTCTATTAAGGGCAAATACAGTCATTGGGATTTTAGCAATTAAGACAAAATTAATCGTCACGTGATAGACAAATTAGTGGGGAATGGGAGTTGTGTTGAAGGTACCCAGCACAACATTGGCGAGAATCATTGGATTAAGTTTGCTATGTGCTCATGAAAGTTGGGGATACGGGTTATGCTGAGTAGTGTATCAATAATGAATCATTAGCTATGCCTTGTTTGCAGAGGGACATTCCTTGTTTGTTACTCGAAGGAGGGACCGCGGTGGCCAAGTGTTTAATGCGTCTGACATTCTGCTACCACTAGCCCTCCACCACTGGGTCGCGGGTTCGAGACCTACGTGGGGCAGTCGTCAGGTACTGGCCGTTAGTCGGTGGTTTTTCTCCTGGAACTCCGGCTTTCCTCCACCATCAAAACCTGGCACGTCCTTAAATGACCATAGCTGTTAAAAGGACGTAAAATACAAACAAACCAAACCGTCACTCAAATGACAAACAACGCTCTGTTGACACAAAGGGACACTACCGTGGGTAACTCTGGAATAACGGCCCTCCGTCGACACAGAGGGACACTAACAGCGGTGATTCTGGACCAACAGCCCTCTGTTGACACAAAGGGGCACTACCGGGGGTAACTCTGGAACAACGGCCCTCCGTCGACACAGAGGGACACTAACAGCGGTGATTCTGGACCAACAACCCTCTGTTGACACAAAGGGGCACTACCGGGGGGTAACTCGATCTGGAACAACGGCCCTCTATCGACACAGAACGGCCCTCCGTCGATGTAGAGGGTCACTACCAGTGATAATTCTGGACCAACACGCCTTTGTTGACACAGATGTACACTAACGGCGGTAATTCTGGACCAAACGACCCTGTCGACACTAAAGGGACCTATAAAGTCACAACAACATCACGCACGTTGCACACATGTAGATTACGCCAACTCCTTGGAGCGAACGGTGTTAATGTTGACGCACTGGCTGACTTGCTATAGGACATTTGGGTAATGAGATAGTGATACACGGTAACATTGATCGTTCGTCTTTTGAGAGAGTTCCTTGTGATATGTCTTATACTCCACCAGAACAACACACTGATATAGACATGTGCGTGCGAGTTGGTTTGTAAAAAGGATTAAGTGTATGAGATAGGAAATTATGGTCTCACCGGAATAAGTTTGATGAATGAAATGTTTTATTGGGAAAACTATTATCACAAATGTGTTTGTCTAAACCATCTGACTTTTTAACCATATGAATATGATTAAATTCGCTGATGACCCAACGCTCCTTTCCTTGTCTGGACCCATTTCTGTTGTATAATCTTAACACGAACGCCTCTTCAGTGTGGAACTGTCCTCCTGGATATGTTTGTAACATTTGTCTCTTTCCTATTATTGTCCCTAAATGAGATTTGGCTCTTTATGCATACGTGAACTTAATACATATATATCTGTCTAATTGCTACACTGGCCCATTGTTACAGTTGTCGTTTCGTTCCGATCTACAGTATTTACACATGTCATCTGTTTATTTCTAACTTTGTTTCTTTGCTACATTTGTCTAATTGTTACTATATTTGACATTTTCTACATTTCTATTTAGCTAGACATATATTCTAAATATGTGTTTGCTCTATTTGGGTACTTAAGGCATTTTTTGTAATTTGTCTTTCTCTAAACGTGTCTCTTTAATATATTTGTCTTTCGCTCAATTTCATCATCGAAAAGCAAGGGTTCTGCTCTCGATATACGTGTTTTATGGGCGGATTGTTCGAGTGGTTAACACTACGGCCTTCCACGCAGGCGGTCGGGGTTCGATCCCAAAAATCGTCGTACCGCATGGCAGATTCAGAGAAAGCGTTGTTCTACACAGATGGAGTATAAACTGGTCTGGGGTGGATGTTGCGGTATCTGACTGTGCTGTAAATTTCAAGTGAGGTGGCACTATAAATGATACCGTTGGAAGCACGGTCCAACTACAAACAGAACACAGTACATCTCCAGCACACACGCAGGCATACACACATATGGAGATATTATCCAGGTGGCATAAGATTATGAGTTAGCGCCTGATGAGGCAGCCCTGCGAATTCCTCAAAATGTATTGATTAATGTATATGCTAATTGTATTGAGTGTATGCATTGTATATCTATGTATTGTAAAGCGCTTTAGAGTAGCTTATTCGAGCTAGATAGGGCGCTATATCAAATGTTGTATTCTTATTCCTATTTTGTGTATTGAAGACATGTAGAGCGGAACCCATTGTCATTGTCTGATATCTTTGTTTCTTTGCTACGTTTCCTTTTTTGTAACATTCGAATCTTTGTTACATTCGAATCTTTTTTATATTCGAATCTTTGTAACATTCGAATCTTTGTTACATTCGAATCTTTTTTACATTCGAATCTTTGTAACATTCGAATCTTTGTTACATTCGAATATTTTTTACATTCGAATCTTTGTTACATTCGAATCTTTGTAACATTCGAATCTTTGTAACATTCGAATCTTTGTTACATTCGAATCGTTGTTACATTCGAATCTTCGTAACATTCGAATCTTTGTTACATTCGAATCTTTGTAACATTCGAATCTTTATTACATTCGAATCTTTATTCGAATCTTTATTACATTCGAATCTTTGTTACATTCGAATCTTTGTTACATTCGAATCTTTGTTACATTCGGATCGTTGTTTGTTACATTTGTTCGTTTGTTTCAGTTACTACTCTGCTTTATTTGTTTCTTCTCTACATTTAATCTGTCTTTTTGCTACATTTTGTCTTTTTGCTGAATTTCTTTCTTTGTTGCCTTCGTCTCTTTGTTACATTTGTTTCTTGCTACAGTAAATTCTTTGCTACATTATCACTGTCACTTTTATCTTTTTGCTACATTTTTGTCTTTGCTATAATTATCTCTTTGAATGAAGCATGAAACAAAAAGTATTCCACGGAACAAACTAAAAAACAATTTAATAACGACGAAACCATAATAGCATAAAAGACTGGGAATTGGTGTAAGATGATTGGAGGTCGTTGGCGGACGAGGTGTTGACAGTCCAGCCACCTACACACCCGGTATGTACAGTTCCCTGCTACTGGCTACTGTCCGATCTTCATATATAATATGTACTGCTAATGTAACGTAACTCCCTAGGGTTTTAGCCGTTATATCTTCTCCCTAATAACCGACTGTCGGTGGGGATGTAACTTGGCAGTTCTCTTCCTCGGCCAGAGGTTATCATGATAAAATGTTCAATATATACTTGCAGCTAGTCTCAGGAGCACAGCCAATTTCTAATCACGCCAGCCTTGGTCAAATTTATCCTGCATAAAAAAACCGGAACATTATATCCTAAACGAACCAGGTGACTACGTGGTAGCTTATCATGAGTTTGATCATTTGAAAATAATCTGTTTTTTTAATGTTTGATATTTGAAACAGAACTAATTATTCAAGGTTTGGTAATGTCCGGTCAATATAGTTACTTGCTTGTTTAACGTGAGTTGATGGACATCCCACCAATGTCAGCATGATATTTACAGTAGATGAAAACAATGGTCTTGTGGTACAGCAACATGTTTACTCTGGGGGGCTTTCTACATCGAAAATCTAAAATTCAAATATGTGCCTCATTGCTTTGTATTTAATATAAACTTTATTTCATTCCAAATTGAGTTGCATTACATCACATAACATACAAAGTACAGAGGACGTTTGCTGTACCTTAGTCCCCGGCGTTTGCTGTAACCTTAGTCCCCGAAGTTTGCTGTAACCTTAGTCCCCGACGTTTACTGTAATCTTAGTCCCCGACGTTTGTTGTAACCTTAGTACCGACGTTTGCTGTACCTTAGTCTCCGACGTTTGCTGTAACCTTATTCCCCGACGTTTGTTGTAAACTAAGTCACCGACGTTTGCTGTAACCTTTGTCCCCGACGTTTGCTGTACCTTAGTCCCCACCGTTTGTTGTAAACTAAGTCCCCGACGTTTGCTGTAACCTTAGTCCCCGACGTTTGCTGTACCTTAGTCCCCGACGTTTGTTGTAAACTTAGTCCCCGACGTTTGTTGTAACATTAGTCCCTAAAGTTTGCTGTACCTTAGTCCCCGACGTTTTCTGTAACCTTAGTTCCCGACGTTTGTTGTAAACTTAGTCCCCGACGTTTGCTGTAACCTTATTCCCCGACGTTAGCTGTACCTTAGTCCCCACCGTTTGTTGTAAACTTAGTCCCCGACGTTTGCTGTAAACTTAGTCTCCGACGTTTGATGTAACCTTAGTCCCCGACGTTTGCTGTAACCTTAGTCCCCGACGTTTACTGTAAACTTAGTCCCCGACGTTTGTTGTAACCATAGTACCGACGTTTGCTGTACCTTAGTCTCCGACGTTTGCTGTAACCTTATTCCTCAACGTTTGCTGTAACCTAAGTCCCCGACGTTTGCTGTAATGTTAGTCCCCGAAGTTTGCGGTAACTTTAGTCCCCGACGTTTACTGTAATGTTAGTCCCCGAAATTGGCTGTACCTTTGTCCCCGACGTTTGCTGTACCTTAGTCCCCAACGTTTGCTGTAACCTAAGTTCCCGACGTTTGCTGTACCTTAGTCCCCGACGTTTGCTGTACCTTAGTCCCCGACGTTTGCTGTACCTTAGTCCCCGATGTTTGCTGTAACATTAATCCCCGACGTTTGCTGTAACATTAGTATCCGACGTTTGCTGTAACATTAGTCCCCGACGTTTGCTGTAATCTTAGTCCCGACGTTTGCTGTAACATTAGTCCCTAAAGGTTGCTGTAACCTTAGTCCCCCCACGTTGGCTGTAATCGTAGTACCCGACGTTTGCTGTTACCTTAGTCCCCGACGTTTGCTGTCATCTTAGTCCCCGACGTTGGCTGTAATCTTGACGGCCACAGTTATTTATTTTAAGTACTGGTACGGTTCACAATATACATATAAACTCTTCACTACTAATTTGAAATTAACCAGTGATCCTCTTGTTTTTAAAATCATGTAATTAAGGGATTTTACGCTTTAGTTTCAACAGCAGGTTGGACAAATTTTGATTTCCACCTTATGGATCCCTTACATCACCGACGAGTCTTAGGCGGACTCCCAGCTGTAAGTAGTTCACGTTTGACGTACTGTATCCATTACCAACTGGTATAGGTGCACCAACATTTGTGTGCAATGCGTTCACCTATCTGGTTATTGTTCCACATATGACAAGATGGTTAACTGTGCTGATTTACTCTCGATCCACAAGGATGGCCGCAATGCTGGAATGTATTCTGAGCATGCTTTACCTGAAATACTAGCTAAGGAACAAATGATCATTTGAAGCCAAAAGTTGTTAACCTGTAAATTTATATTTGATTCGATAGGCGTCTTTCCCTTTAAGCTGTATTATTTATCTGTTTCTTAACATTTTAGGGATGGATTTTCATTCTCTTAATCTTTATTACCAATGAGTCATCAATTGAAGAAGTATTATAGGAAAATATTTACTTTGTTTGGTTTTCTTTATCAGTAAACTTAATTTCTTAAGATACTTTCAAAACATCATATTTCTAATGACCGTTTCAAGTTGTTATACATGCAAAAGCCAGGACTAGGTAAACACGACAACAGTCTTACACCACGAACAGGACAGACTATACCAGTCCTACGACGCGACACCAACACAGACTGTACCAGTCCTACGACATGGCACCAACACAGACTGTACCAGTCCTACGATACAACACCAACACAGGCTGTACCAGTCCTACGACATGACCCCAACACAGACTGTACCAGTCCTACGACAGGACACCAACACAGACTGTACCAGTCCTACTACATTACACCAACAAAGACTGTACCAGTCCTACGACACGACACCAACACAAACTGTACCAGTCCTACGATACAACACCAACACAGACTGTATCAGTCCTACGACATGACCCCAACACAGACTGTACCAGTCCTACGACATGGCACCAACACAGACTGTACCAGTCCTACGATACAACACCAACACTGACTGTACCAGTCCTACGACATGACACCAATACAGACTGTACCAGTCCTACGACGCAACACCAACACCGACTGTACCAGTCCTACGACACGACACCAATACAGACTGTACGAGTCCTACGACATGACACCAACACAGACTGGAACAGTCCTACGACACGACACCAACACAGACTATACCAGTCCGACGACATGACACCAACACAGTCTGTACCAGTCCTACGATACAACACCAACACAGATTGTACCAGTCCTACGACACGACACCAACACCGACTGTACCAGTCCTACGACACGAGACCAAGACAGACTATACCAGTCCTACGACACGACACCAACACAAAATGTACCAGACCTACGACGCGACACCAACACAGATTGTACCAGTCCTACGACACGACACCAACACAAACTGTACCAGTCCTACGATACAACACCAACACAGACTGTATCAGTCCTACGACATGACCCCAACACAGACTGTACCAGTCCTACGACATGGCACCAACACAGACTGTACCAGTCCTACGATACAACACCAACACAGACTGTACCAGTGCTACGACATGACACCAACACAGACTGTACTAGTCCTACTACATGACACCAACACAGACTGCCAACACCGACTGTACCAGTCCTACGACACGACACCACCACAGACTGTACCAGTCCTACTACATTACACCAACACAAACTGTACCAGTCCTACGACATGACACCAATACAGACTGTACCAGTCCTACGACATGACCCCAACACAGACTGTACCAGTCCTACGACACGACCCCAACACAGACTATACTAGTCCTACGACATGCCACCAACACAGACTGTACCAGTCCTACGACATGGCACCAACACAGACTGTACCAGTCCTACGACATGCCACCAACACAGACTGTACCAGTCCTACGACATGCCACCAACACAGACTATACCAGTCCGACGACACGACACCAACACAGACTGTACCAGTCCTACGACACGACACTACCACAAACTGTACCAGTCCTACTACATTACACCAACACAGCACCAACACAGACTATACCAGTCCGACGACACAGACTGTACCAGTCCTACTACATGACACCAACACAGACTATACCAGTCCTACGACATGCCACCAACACAGACTGTACCAGTCCTACGACACAACACCAACACCGACTGAACCAGTCCTACGACACGACACCAACACAGACTATACCAGTCCTACGACACGACACTACCACAAACTGTACCAGTCCTACTACATTACACCAACACAAACTGTACCAGTCCTACGACATGACACCAACACAGACTATACCAGTCCTACGACACGACACCAACAAAGACAGAACAAGTCTTACGACACGACCCCAACAAAGACTGTACCAGTCTTACGACACGACATCAACACAGACTATACCAGTACACAGACTGTACCAGTCCTACGACGCGCCACCAACACAGACTGTACCAGTCCTACGACGCGACGCCAACACAGACTGTACCAGTCCTACCACATGACACCAACACAGACTGTATCAGTCCTACGACACGACACCAACAAAGACTGTACCAGTCTTACGACACGACAACAAGACAGATCGTACTAGCCTTATAACACGACAACAAGACAGACTGTACCAGCCTTATAACACGACAATAAGACAGACTGTACTAGTCTCACTACACGACACCAAGACAGACCGTACTAGCCTTATAACACGACAATAAGACAGACTGTACCAGTGTTACAAAGTCCTACGACACAACACTAACACCGACTGTACCAGTCCTACTACATGCCACCAACACAGACTGTACCAGTCTTACGACACGACAATAAGACAGACTGTACTAGTCTCACTACACGACAACAAGACAGATCGTACTAGCCTTATAACACGACAACAAGACAGACTGTACCAGCCTTATAACACGACAATAAGATAGACTGTACTAGCCTTATAACACGACAATAAGATAGACTGTACTAGCCTTATAACACGACAACAAGACAGACTGTACCAGCCTTATAACACGACAATAAGACAGACTGTACTAGTCTCACTACACGACAACAAGACAGATCGTACTAGCCTTATAACACGACAATAAGACAGACTGTACTAGTCTCACTACACGACAACAAGACAGACCGTACTAGCCTTATAACACGACAACAAGACAGACTGTACCAGTCTTACAACACTAAGTCCTACGACGCGACACCAACACAGACTGTAGTAACAGTCCTACGACACGACTCCAACACAGACTGTACAAGTATTACGACACAACACCAACACCGACTGAACCAGTCCTACGACACGACACCATCAAAGACAGAAAAAGTCTTACGACACGACACCAACAAAGACAGAACAAGTCTTACGACCCGACCCCAACAAAGACTGTACCAGTCTTACGACACGACATCAACCCAGACTATACCAGTCGTACGACACGACACCAACACAGACCGAACCAGTACTACGACACGACACCAACCCAGACTGTACCAGTCCTACTACACAACACCAACACCGACTGTACTAGTCCTACGACACGACACCAACAGAGACTATACCAGTCCTCCGAGACGACACTACCACAAACTGTACCAGTCCTACGACGCGACGCCAACACAGACTGTACCAGTCCTACGACGCAACACCAACACAGACTTTACCAGTCCTACGCCATGACACCAACCCAGACTGTACAAGTATTACGACTCGACACCAACCCAGACTGCACCAGTCCTACAACATGACACAAACTCAGACTGTAACAGTCCTACGACACGACACCAACACAGACTGTACAAGTATTACGACACAACACCAACACCGACTGTACCAGTCCTACGACACGACACCAACACAGACTGTACAAGTCCTACGACACGACACCAACACAACCTGTACCAGTCCTACGACACGACACCAACACATACTGTACCAGTCCTACGACACGACACCAATACAGACTATACCAGTCCTACGACACGACACCAACACAGTCTGTACCAGTCTTACGACGCGACACCAATACAGACTATCCCAGTCCTACGACACGACACCAACACAAACTGTACCAGTCCTACGACACGACACAAACACAGACTGTACCAGTCTTACGACACGACAACAAAACAGACTGTACTAGCCTTATAACACGACAACAAGACAGACCGTGCTAGCCTTATAACACGACAATAAGACAGACTGTACCAGTGTTACAACACGACAACAAGACAGACCGTACTAGCCTTATAACACGACAATAAGACAGACTGTACCAGTCTTACAACACGACACCAACACAGACTGTACCAGTCTTACGACACGACAACAAAACAGACTGTACTAGCCTTATAACACGACAACAAGACAGACCGTGCTAGCCTTATAACACGACAATAAGACAGACTGTACCAGTCTTACCAGTCTTACGACGCGACACCAATACAGACTATCCCAGTCCTACGAAACGACACCAACACAGACTGTACAAGTATTACGACACGACACCAACACAGACTGCACCAGTCCTACAACATGACACAAACCCAGACTGTAACAGTCCTACGACACGACCCCAACACAGACTGTACAAGTATTACGACACAACACAAACACAGACTGTACCAGTCCTACGACATGACCCCAACACAGACTATACCAGTCCTACGACACGACACCAATACAGACTATACCAGTCCTACGACACGACACCAATACAGACTATACCAGTCCTACGACACGACACCAACCCGGACTGCACCAGTCCTACAACATGACACAAACCCAGACTGTAACAGTCCTACGACACGACACCAACACAGACTGTACCAGTCTTACGACGCGACACCAATACAGACTATACCAGTCCTACGACACGACACCAACACAGACTGTACCAGTCCTACGACACGACACCAACACAACCTGTACCAGTCCTACGACACGACAACAACACAGACTGTACCAGACCTAGGAAACGACACCAACATAGACTGTAGGTGTCGTGTCGTAGGACTGTACCAGTCCTACGACACGACACCAACACAGACTGTACCAGACCTACGAAACGACACCAACATAGACTGTACCAGTCCTACGACACGACACCAATACAGACTGTACCAGTCCTACGACACGACACCAACACAGAATGTACAAGTTTACATCACGACACCAACACAGACTGTACCAGTCCTACGTCACGACACCAACACAGACTGTACCAGTCTTACGACACGACATCAACACAGACTATACCAGTCGTACGACACGACACCAACACAGACTGTACCAGTCCTACGACGCAACACCAACACAGACTTTACCAGTCCTACGACACGACACCAACACAGACTGTACCAGTCTTACGACACGACACCAACACAGACTGTACCAGTCCTACGACGCAACACCAACACAGACTGTACCAGTCCTACGACACGACACCAACAAAGACAGAACAAGTCTTACGACGCAACACGAACACAGACTTTACCAGTCCTACGACACGACACCAACACAAACTGTACCAGTCCTACGACACGACACCAACAAAGACTTTACCAGTCCTACGACACGACACCAACACATACTGTACCAGTCTTACGACACGACACCAACACAGACTGTACCAGTCCTACGACACGACACCAACAAAGACAGAACAAGTCTTACGACACGACACCAACAAAGACTGTACCAGTCTTACGACACGACATCAACACAGACTATACCAGTCGTACGACACGACACCATCACAGACTGTACCAGTCTTACGACATGACAACAAGACAGACTGTACTAGCCCTACGACACGACAACGAGACAGACTGTACCAGTCTTACGACACGACACCAACACAGACTGTACCAGTCTTACGACATGACAACAAGACAGACTGTACTAGCCCTACGACACGACAACAAGACAGACTGTACCAGTCTTACGACACGACACCAACCCAGACTGTACCAGTCCTACGACACGACACCAACAAAGACAGAACAGGTCTTACGACAAGACACCAACAAAGACTGCACCAGTCTTACGATACGACACCAACACAGTCTGTACCAGTCCTACAACACGACACCAACATAGACTGTACCAGTCTTACGACATGACAACAAGACAGACTGTACTTGCCTTACGACACGACAATAAGACAGACTGTACCAGTCTTACGACACGACAATAAGACAGACTGTACCAGTCTTACAACACGACAACAAGACAGACTGTACTAGCCTTACGACACGTTAACAAGACAGACTGTACAAGTCTTACAACACGACTTTAAGACAGACCGTACTAGTCTTATAACACGACAATAAGACAGACTGTACAAGCCTTACGACACGTAAACAAGACAGACTGTGACTGTACCAGTCTTACGACACGACACCAACCGTACTAGCCTTATAACACGACAATAAGATAGACTGTACTAGCCTTATAACACGACAATAAGACAGACTGTACCAGTGTTACAACACGACAACAACACAGACTGTACCAGTCTTACGACACGACAACAAAACAGACTGTACTAGCCTTATAACACGACAACAAGACAGACCGTGCTAGCCTTATAAACAATAAGACAGACTGTACCAGTGTTAGTTACAACACGACAACAACACAGACTGTACCAGTCTTACGACACGACAATAAGACAGACTGTACTAGCCTTATAACACGACAATAAGATAGACTGTAATAGCCTTACGACACGTAAACAAGACAGACTGTACCAGTGTTACAACACGACTATAAGACAGACCGTACTAGCCTTATAACACGACACTAAGACAGACTGTACCAGTGTTACAACACGACAACAAGACAGACTGTACCAGTCTTATAACACGACAATAAGATGGACTGTACTAGCCTTATAAAACGACAACAAGACAGACTGAACCAGTGTTACAACACGACAACAAGACAGACTATACTAGCCTTACTACACGACAACAAGACAGACTATACTAGCCTTACTACACGACAACAAGACAGACTGTTCCAGTCTTACAACACGACAACACAATAAGACAGACTGTACTCGCCTTATAACACGACAATAGGACAGACTGTACCAGTCTTACAACACGACAACAAGACAGACTGTCCCAGTCTTACAACACGACAACACAATAAGACAGACTGTACTCGCCTTATAACACGACAATAAGATAGACTGTAATAGCCTTACGACACGTAAACAGGACAGACTGTACCAGTGTTATAACAAGACAATAAGACAGACTGTACTCGCCTTATAACACGACAATAAGACAGACTGGACTAGCCTTATAACACGACAATAAGATAGACTGTACTAGCCTGTACCAGTCTTACGACACGACAATAAGACAGACTGGACTAGCCTTATAACACGACAATAAGATAGACTGTACTAGCCTTATAAAACGACAACAAGACAGACTGTACCAGTGTTACAACACGACAACAAGACAGACTGTACCAGTGTTACAACACGACAACAAGACAGACAGACTGTACCAGTCCTACGATAAGACACAAATACAGACTGTACCAGTCTTACGACACTACAACAAGACTGACTGTACTAGTCTTCCTACACGACAACAAGCCAGACTGTACTAGCCTTGTAACACGACAATAAGACGGACTGTACTAGTCTCACAACACGACAACAAATCGGACCGTACTAGCCTTACGACACGACAACAAGACAACAAGACAGACAGACTGTACCAGCCTTACGACACGACAATAAGACGGACTGTACTAGTCTCACTACACGACAACAAGACAGATCGTACTAGCCTTATAACACGACAACAAGACAGACTGTACTAGCCTTATAACACGACAATAAGACAGACTGTACTAGTCTTACTACACGACAACAAGACAGACTGTACTAGCCTTACGACACGTAAACAAGACAGACTGTACCAGTCTTATAACACGACAATAAGACAGACTGTACTAGCCTTATAACACGACAATAAGATAGACTGTACTAGCCTTATAACACGACAACAAGACAGACTGTACCAGCCTTATAACACGACAATAAGACAGACTGTACTAGCCTTATAACACGACAACAAGACAGACTGTACCAGTGTTACAACACGACAACAAATCAGACCGTACTAGCCTTATAACACGACAATAAGACAGACTGTACCAGTCTTACAACACTACAACAAGACAGACTGTACTAGTCTTACGACACGACAACAAGACCGACTGTACTAGCCTTACGACACGACAACAAGACAGGCTGTACCAGCCTTATAACACGACAACAAGACAGACTGTACTAGCCTTATAACACGACAATAAGACAGACTGTACTAGCCTTATAACACGACAATAAGATAGACTGTACTAGCCTTACGACACGTAAACAAAACAGACTGTACCAGTGTTACAACACGACAACAAGACAGACCGTACTAGCCTTATAACACGACAATAAGACAGACTGTACCAGTCTTACAACACTACAACAAGACAGACTGTACTAGTATTACGACACGACAACAAGACCGACTGTACTAGCCTTACGACACGACAACAAGACAGACTGTACCAGCCTTACGACACGACAATAAGACAGACTGTATCAGTCTTACGACACGACAACAAGACAGACCGTACTAGCCTTATAACACGACAACAAGACAGACTGTACCAGCCTTACGACCCGACAATAAGACAGACTGTACTAGCCTTGTGATACGACAACAAGACAGACTGGACTAGCCTTATAACACGACAACAAGGCAGACTGTACCAGTGTTACAACACGACAACAACACAGACTGTACCAGTCTTACGACACGACAACAAAACAGACTGTACTAGCCTTATAACCCGACAATAAGATAGACTGTACTAGCCTTATAACACGACAACAAGGCAGACTGTACCAGTGTTACAACATTACAATAGGACAGACTGGCCTAGCCTTATGATACGACAACAAGGCAGACTGTACTAGCCTTATAACACGACAACAAGACAGACTGTACCAGTCTTACAACACGACAACAAGACAGACTGTACTAGCCTTATAACACGACAATAAGACAGACTGTACTAGTCTCACTACACGACAACAAGACAGACTGTCCCAGCCTTACAACTCGACACTATTGTACCAATTATATAAAACAAGACACGGGAGTTATATTTGTGTAAGAAGCGAGCTTCCACCTGATTCACTTAACACGTACGTGCTCTACATCAGCTACCACACCATGTGCTCATTATTTAATTATAAGTCATAAATCAAGTGCATTGCATTTGAAATCGATAGAAATGAAGTCCCTTCAGTGTAGTTATAATATCCAATAGTCGAACAGTATTCCAGTTGATTAGAATCTGTATTTTTATATTGTAATTACTGGTACCCACAAGAAATAAAGATACTGTTGTAGAAACTATGAAAAACGCGTGAAAAAATTTGAAACAATGCCATGTTAGATTTGAAAAGTAGATACAACTTTACATTTCATTCATTGATTTAAAAGCAATTAAGCTGATTTTGAGCGCAAATTTGATAACTGAGGAACAGAGAAATCTACTTAGAAATGTGTATTGCTAAACAAATGAGAGACGCATTAAGTAAAAACGCATTGGACCTCAAAACAAAATTACTTCCAAAACGTATATGCAATGCCAGCCGAGTTGGCATCGAATCCATCACTATGACGTCATCATGTCCCCGGTGACAGCAGGCATCTTGCTGCCAACAAGTGTATCTTGTTCGAGTTAAAGTACGTTTAGGAGTGATACCAAGAGGAATGAAATGGTATTTAACATACACTTGTCCGTGATATGGGTTGCTTTGCATGTGTGATACTGCTAGCTGTAAATAGGTCATAACCCGGACCAATCCCTATCCGCCCGGGTCGCGCCATAATCGGTTAACTTCCGGTTCAACACTTTTCAGAAAAATCACACCTCAAACTGGTAGTGTCCACATTGCAATAATCCACCTGTGTTTGCTATTCCGTTTATTTTGTTTTCTTTAAGGTAGAATGTGATGTTGGTGAAGCTCATGAAATATAATTTTCTGCTAGCTTTATATGTTATTTCTAATATTTTGGATGTTATAGAGCAGTTTTTGAAAAAAAGGTTTCCATATGACCATTTTCATATCTTACTCCGTATCATATCAGCCCGAGGAAGTATATGGCTGACACGGAGAAGGATATGAAATCGAAGGATACCTGATATAGTAGAATGGTAAGTATCCGAGGGATACCCAGTATAGCGAAATGGTAAGTCTCCGAGGGTTCCTGATGTAGCAGAATGGAAAGTATCCGAGGGATACCTGATGTAGTAGAATGGTAAATATTCGAGGGATACCTGATGTAGCAGAATGGTATGTATCCAATGGATACCTGATGTAGCAGAAAGGTAAGTATCCAATGGATACCTGATGTAGCAGAAAGGTAAGTATCCAAGGGATACCTGATGTAGCAGAATGGTAAGTATCCAAGGGATACCTGATGTAGCAGAATGGTAAGTATCCAAGAGATACCCAGTGTAGTGAAATGGTAATTCTACGAGGGTTCTTGTTGTAGTCGATTGGTAGGGATACCTGATGTAAATGTATTGGAATGGTAAGTATCCGAGGGATACCTGATGTACATGTATTGGAATGGTAAGTATCCGATGTACCTGATGTAGTGGTGGAATGGTAAGTACCCGAGGGATACCTGATGAACATGTATTGGAATGGAAAGTATCCGATGTACCTGATGTAGTGGTGGAATGGTAAGTACCCGAGGGATACCTGATGAACATGTATTGGAATGGTAAGTATCCGATGTACCTGATGTAGTGGTGGAATGGTAAGTATCCGAGGGATACCTGATGAACATGTATTGGAATGGTAAGTATCCGATGTACCTGATGTAGTGGTGGAATGGTAAGTATCCGATGTACCTGATTTAGTGGTGGAATGGAAAGTATCCGATGTACCTGATTTAGTGGTGGAATGGTAAGTATCCGAGGGATACCTGATGTACATGTATCGGAATGGTAAGTATCCGAGGTACCTGATGTAGTAGTGGAATGGTAAGTATCCG